GCTTCATGGAGAGCTCCTCACTGGACACAACGCCCTTCTTGAAACAAGCCCTTCCTCCATCCCTCCCTCCCTTCTCTATCAATCCCTTCCTCTTTCCATCTCTTCCTACCTTCTTCCCTCCTTCCTTCCCTCCCTCCCTTCCTCTTTCTATCCCTTTCTCTTTATCAGTCCTTTGCTTCTCCCTTTCATCCCCCCTCCCTTCCTTCTTCTTCCCTTTCTCTATCAATCCCTTCCTCTTTCCATCCCTCCCTCCCTTGCACCCATCTCTCCTTCCCTTCCTTTCTATCCCTTCCTTCCTTCCTTCCTTCCTTCCTTCCTTCCTTCCTTCCTTCCTTCCTTCCTTCCTTCCTTCCTTCCTTCCTTCCTTCCTCTTTCCATCCCTTCCTTCCTGTTTCTATTAGTCCCTTCCTCCCTTCCTCTTTCTCCCTCCCTCCCTTCCACTTTGGGGAGCCCTGGTGGGCTCCCCAAATGCCATGAGTTGACTTGACCCCCCCCCTCCTAATATCCAACCTCCTTTTGCAGTCCTGCAGACCCATCGCTGCAATTATCTGGGCTTGTAACGGGAGAAGAGACGGCCCTTCGGGATGGGGTGAGGAGGTGGGAGGGAGGGAGGCAGACCACACGGGTGGCATTTGAAGATTTAGAGCCCTTGCTGGGATTCCACAGATGCTGCTGGCATTTACAGGGAAGCCCAGAGAATTTCAGGAACGTCAACAACACCGTAGAGACGGTCAACACCAAAGTTAGTTCCAAGAATACTCATTGAAGAAGAATAAACAATGAATGGTGTGTTACGCCTGAGAACAAACCAGTCTTCCTTCAGCTTTCTTCCAAGGTTACACCCGTTAGGTTTCAAGGGTGTGCCCAGCTGGTTCTCCTAGACCTAGACAGAGGTCCCTCCATGGATCCCAGGGATGTTCCTCCTCTTGCCTTTCCGTTCAGTGTGGACAGAGATGCAGAATCCTGGCTTCTTCCAGAGTGATGGGTATTGTTGGCCTGAGCACCTACGCAAAGGTCTTTTGCTCTGCTGAGGGATCTACATTCCCACCTTGAAGACTCTTCAAGGGGGACATGATGGTCCAGCTTAGTCCTCTTGCAACAGGGCGCCATCTAGTGGCAATCTGGAGGGAAACCAGGTTTTTGCTGTTTCAGACGTTTTCATGAAGTTTGGGGTTCTCCAGATTCCGGCTATTCTGCAGCTTGCAGCCTCTCCATGGGACTGGCCTGGGAAATTTGCCAGCCCGTCAGATTTTCATGACATACCCCCAATCTGGTGTCGATCCATCGACTCCAAAGGCTGCGGAACCTACACAAGAAAAAGAGGATAGTTTCCATTGTGCCAAAGAATTTCCTTGACTGAGCCCCATTTCCCATTTAAATATTAACCCAATCCAATCTTGCTTAGCTTCCAAATCCAGATAAGGTTGGTTATTAACATTTACTCACCAGCCCTCTGCACATCATTTCTTCCTCCTCCTCCATCTCCTCCTCCTCCCTCTTTCCCCTCCTTCTCCTTCTCCCCATCAGCATTTCTCCTCCTCTTCCTCCTCCACCTTCTCCTCCTCCTCCTCCTCCTCCTCCTTCTCCTCCTCCTCCTCCCTCTTCCTTTTCCCCTCCTTCTCCTCCTTCCCATCAGCATTCCTCCTCCTCCTCCTCCTCCTCCTCCTCCATGTCCCCAAATAATCTCCTGGCTTTGCATGGTATAATGAAGGAACTCAGCTGAGCCAGATTGCCAAACACCTTAAGAAAACAAACAAACAAACAAAAACAGAACTCATCCTGTCTAGCAATCGATGTCCAACTAAGCAGGGATCAACACCAGACAAACAATCAAGCAGAAAACAATACCTTAAATCAAGGAACGACCCAGAAGAAAACTACACCCTCTCCAACACTGGCAGGGCAAGCGATTATACATACATTGGGAACAAACCAGTGGTGGGATTCAGCCAGTTTGCACCAATTCGGCAGAACCGGTAGCTGATTTTTTGTTGCCCAGGCCCAGAATGGACTTCCGGAAGCGGCACCCATGCAGAGAACCGGTTGTTCACCTATTTGAATCCCACCACTGGAACAAACCTTACACCCGTTCCCACTGATAAAGTTACCTAGTTGGGTCATGCAACGTCTGCAAGAGACCCACCGACTCAAATGTAACCCTGGGCTACAAATACTCTCTTCTCTTGAACATCTGGAAGTCCATCCATCTTAAAAACTGGCCGAGGTTGAAAAACCATGGTCTCAGAAGGAGGGAGGCTCTCTCATGTGGCAAGACATCCCTGTGGCCAATGGGGCATCGCTTGCGTGATGATGTCACAGCAAAGATGACGTCATCCTGGCTTCTGGCAAACCCTGATGCTTCTACGCAGGGCTGAGTTAATCAGGCACTGACTCATCTCTAGATAAAAGGCCAGTTCCAAATAGAATGGAGAACTAAATTATATGAACCCTTTCCCAGTAATCAAAGGTCATTATTTTAATTAATTCCAGCATCTCCCTGCTATAAAATGTCTGCCACGTGGCCCCGGAGCATTGCTGAGCAATGAAAACAATTCAACATCTCAAGACAGAACCAGCGTTATATGTTCTGCTTATTCCTGCGTAAAACGAAAGAAACGGTCGGGCCTTCAAACAAAGCCATCCACGCAGGTAATCCTCACCTTAGGACCACAACTGAGCCTCACATTTCTATTGTTAAGTGAAACATTTGCGATGTGAATTTTGCCCAGTTTTTACATTGGTTGTTACTGCAGTTAAGTTAGTAATAAAGCTTTCCAATGATTTTGTTCATCAGGAGGTCACAACAGGGGATCACATGACACACACCCCCCAGGACATAGCAACCATCATAAATATGGTTGAATTTGGATCACGTGACCTGGAGAATGCTACGACGGTCGTAAATGTGAAAAACGGTCATAAGTTCCTTTTTTTAGTGCTATCAAATGGCAAGGACTATCTATATTCCAGTGGCAATAGCTGCATCACGAGTGAGATGGGCAGCAAAGAAATTTAACACATTTAAAAAAATAAATTGAAAAATGCTAACATCTTGTGGGCTCATTTTGCTCCCGTCTCCCTAAAAAAGAAAAAAAGGAAGAAGAGACGTAGTAGTAGCTGAACATCAGAACTATCCAAAGTGGAAGACAAACACAGATTTTAAATGGGTGCTTTAACCCATCTAGAGCTTTTCGAACAAGTAGCTTCCTTACTGAAATACAAGAATTATTTTTTTTCCCTTCCTACAAAAAAATTGGGTTATCTAACCCGAACAGCTGCAGGTTTCTTAATTATGCACTGCTATTGTCACCAGCATGCTTGCGCAAATTGCTTGGCGTGGGAAGTGTTTTAAAAAAATCTTTTTTTAGGGGATGTTAATTGGATCACGAACGAGAGATGGGATGCTTCTCCCTCCCCCCCCCATTTCTGCTTGTTTTTTTAAAAAAAGTATTTCTCCCTTTTCAGAAAGTCTGGCTGAGTCTACCTGGAAGGCAGAGACGGAAAAGGGGAAAAGCTATGGAGCTTTAAAGAAAATGCCTCTGTTAAACTCCTAAGGGCTTGTTCAGTCCTTGAATAATTGCAGGTAAAACAAAAGGAGGTTTCGGAGCTTAACAGCAATGGGTCCAGACCATTTCCTAGGACAGTGGTTCTCAACCTGTTTAATACCGCGACTCCCAACCGGTCGTAAGTCGAGGACGACTCAACCGGTCGTAAGTCGAGGACTACTCAACTGGTGCAGCACCGTTTGCAGAATGGGACTTTTGGCGGGCTCAGCAGGGCAGAGACAGCCTGGACAATTCCTATTGGCTTTTGAAAGCCAATAGAATTAGACTCTATTCAAGAGAGTCTATTCTATTGGCTTTCAAAAGCCAATAGAATAAAAGGGAGTAGCACAGCTAAGGAAAAGGGGGGAAAAAATGGCGGACTGCGTAGTTTGGCGACCGCCGTGAAATGGTCGTTCGACCCCAAATGGGGTCCCGACCCACAGGTTGAGAACCACTGTCCTAGGATGTTTACCACACAAATAGTGAGCAATATTCACTTGCTCTGTTATTATGAGAAGTTACTCTGTGCAGTAACCAGTTTAACTTGCGCTGCCATATCATTTAAACAAGTTTAATTTGCATTTAGCTGGCTTTGGCTAATCTTGGAAAGCTATGGAGGTGTTTGGGCCTCCAGTTGATTTCAGTCAGAAACACCCCCCCCCCGCCCCCCAAATGAAGTCCATTAAACACAACTTATGTAGAGTTTTCTTCCTGTGCAAATATATGCAGAATTAGTGGACAGAATACTCAAGAATTATATTCACAGCCTAATAATATTTATCCAGTTTGCCCCTGAAATAAAGGGAAATTTGGACTTATCCTTAATTCCAAGCTTTTGCAGGTATCAACTGGGATAAGGAGAAGGAGTTTAATGATAAGCAAGGCTGCTTGCGTTTTTCCTTTACCCTTCCCGCGTCCTTTCCTTTTGTGCGGGGCCTGCCAGTCTGCAAAACCTCCCTTGATTTATCAGTAGCTTTGCAAAGAACAAGCTAGAATTAAGGGCAGAAATGAACAGCGCGGACACCTCTGAGCACGCAGAGTGCATTTCAGTTGGGACAAGCCACAAACCCTTCTCGGCCCAGTCTTTTCTTCAAAGCCCGCCCCCTCTCTCATCTGATGGGCGGCACCTCCTGCCAATCACAAATCTCAGCCGCGAACTATACAATCCCTTTCTTCCAGCCTGGGGGCGGGGAAAAAAAGGCAAAATTGAATTGCTCGCTTCCTCTGCCAATCTGAAGAGCAAAGCCCGCCTCTTGCAGCTTCTCCTTCTTTCCCCCCTCCCTTCCCCCCTCCCTCGCTGGTGTCTTAAGCCGGAGGAGGCGGGGCAACACCTCCGGTTGGCTGCGACGCGACTGCCACTCCAGGGCGGGGCGCCTCCGCCTCCTCGGGGAGCGGATCCCACGCCGATTGGCGGGCCGGCCAGCCAATCCGGCGGCGGCGGCCAATCCCCGCGTCGCCCTCTCTCAGGTAACCCGGAAGATGGCGGCGGCGGCGGCGGCTGGGATGAGGCGAGGCGCCGCTGCCGGCCGTGCCGCGTGAGGGAAGCGGAGTGGCGGCGGCTCCTCCGGGCCGGCCTCCTCCTCCTGCTGTTGCTTTGCGCCGTCGTTCTCTGGCGGGAACCCATGCCGGCCCCTCCGAGCCCCGCCGGCTGAGGCGAGACAGGCCCGGCTGCGGACCGCGCTGAGGACTCGGGCTGCCCCCCCCCCCACTCCCGAGATGCCGGGCCGCTTGCTGCGCCCCGCGCTCGGCTGGGGCGGCCTCGGACTCTTCTGCTTGTGGCTGGGCGGCAGCCAGGCGGCTCCGCTGCCGCCCGCGGGGCCAGGTGAGAAGCCGGGAGGAGCGGGAATGAAGCCCCCCCCGGGAAGGAATCAGGGCGGGGGGGGGGTTTGAGGAGGCCGCAGGAGGCGGGGATTGGGTTGGCCCCCCCGCCATGACCCCCCTCACCCCGCCTTCGCATCGAATCGCCCAGCCTGGCCTACCTGGCCGGGTTGTTGTGAACCCCAAGGGCGGGGGTGGGGTGGGGGTGTCTGAAGCCCCTGTAGGGAAAAATGGGGGGGGCGTTTCAGCCGAGGCCCAGCCTGCTCCCTTATCTGATCTCTATATAATAGGATTAATTGATTCATCCATTCTGGGCCTTTGGGAGACCCCAGGGTGGGATGGAGGCCCTCCAGGGGCCCCTTGGATTGCTGGTGGTCGTCGGGGTGGGTGGATGGGGGATGCTATTGCTTGTATTCTTTTTATACTGGGATTTCAGGGTTTTATGGCTTGTAAGGGGCCCAGAGTCACTGAGGGTGGATGGCCTTATAAATCCAATCAATCATATGAATAAATATAACTATATAAATCCAATAAACAAATAGTATAGCCATATAAACTCAATAAATGCATATGTAAATAAATACAATTTATATAGCTGCCCACCCAGACGGTATAGGTTCTGCTTAAACAGGGGGCTGGACTAGAAGACCTCAAAGGTCCCGTCTATTCTATCTCCCTCCCTTGTGACTCTGGGCAGTTCGTTTTCTTGTTGTGTGTGTCTGTGGGGGGGGGGGGTGTCTTCTCTTCCTCTGGTTGCCTTTCCCATTATGGACCTCCTCCTTGGGACCTTGCCTGGATCCCTCTGTCCCACCCCCAGACTCCAGCACCCATCCTCTCCACTATAAGGATCACTCTGGAGAGGGCTGGGATGAAAAAAAAAAAAAGCTTATTTGGTTTGATTAGTTTCATTTCAAGAGCCATGTCTTCTGGCTCTGCCTTCAGGTGCTTTGGAAAATAGGTTGACCTCCTCTTTCTTGTGGCAGGCCCTCAAGTATAGGAAGGCTGCTGTCATGCTTAAACATTTGTGTTTAAACATCTGGAGCGAAAGAGACTCCACTGTCTCCTGAGGCAGCCTGATTCATGGTCGAACACCTCACAAGGATATGAAATCATAGAATGTTGGGAAGGATCTCTGGTGATCATCAAGTCCCACCCCATGCCCTTTGCAGGAATTCTCATTCCTTAACAAGTGGCTGGCCAGTCTCTGTTTAAACATCTGCATCTCCCGCGGTAGTTGTTCCCATTATGAAATAGCTTCTTATTATGACATTTCTTCCACATGTTCACCATCTTTCTGTTTTAAGTGCTTTGCCTCTTGACCTGCTTTCATGTCCTCCCTGATCCCATTTTTCTGTTCCTTTTCTTATGGCACTTCTTCATCATTAATATCCATTTCTTGACCACAATCAGTGTTTATAATTCATCATTTATATCTTCCGTTGGGGTACATCCCAGAAAGCGTACAGCTTGCAAGGAGCTTAGGCAGAAAAAAAAAGTAATATGGAAACAGAAAAGAATGTAGGTGTAATCTCTCTTTCTCTTGCCCCATGTTATATATTTGCAGATGTGTGTGTTGATGTGAGAAGTAAAGAATCTCACCTTAACATGGAAGGGAGGAAAAGTGAGGACGAAAGAAAGATTGTTCAGTTTTGCTGTTATAAATTACACTTTACATATTTTCTAAGCAAATCTGAGTTTTGAGTAGAAACATCCCAACATTAAGATTCTTTTTGCATTTTGACCTGCTTTTATGTGTTTTGTGTGTTGATGTCTAAAAATTACTTAGTTAACAAACAGCTTTATGCCAATAGCGATGATATACTTTAGTTTGTGAAAACAACTGTTAAATAAGTTAATTTTTAAAATGCCTCTCTCCTGTCTCTCCCCTGCCAATACAAGAGAGATAAGTTTAGATACTTACAGGTTATAATCGTCAAATCGTCTTTACGCATGTGTAAAGGTTTTCCTTCACTGGAGCAAGCCTGTTGTGTAGGCAAATGGTACAGACATTAGTAGCAACAATGTAAAAAAAGGAACCACAGTGGATAAGAATCACTATCTTATCATTATCCGAATTACTACCCTGTCTTGGTTCCATTTCTTCCCAGGTATTTAAATCATTCTGTGTCTAAACCTAGAAATTCAGTTTGTGACAAGTTGTGACAAATAACTGGACATAACCTTTCTGAATGTGTTCATTCTTTTTAGATTCAACTTATTGGTTAATGTGCCTTTTGGATTTCAAACATTTTATGAAATGGTTCCCCATAGTGATTCAAATTCTAAACCAGTCTTAAGGAAATAATACAATTGAACCTGTTAGCTTGGTTCATTGAGTCATCTTTGGTGTTAGGTTTATCTCAGGTCTTGAATAAATTATAATTGCTCTGAGATGATTTATTGTCATTGTCTGAAGTTTAGTAGAAATCAAAAGTAGCTTAACATTTTCATATCTGTCTTTTGCTGCAACGAATGCGTTCTTCCTTTGTCCTCCATATCTTCTTTCCCTGAGACTTAATTTGGAAATTATTGGCATGTGTTTAATGAAATATAAATCCTGCAGAAGCAAAAAAGGAATTTGAACATGACCCAATGTCAGCATTTGAAAGAGTTCCTGATACAGTTGTGAGGAGCTTTCAAAATATAGCATGTGCATAATGTAATATATTGTATTTTGATATGTAATGGTAGGCAAGGGAAGTGTGATATGCAATACCTGAAATGCAACATTTCATTCTCGTGTTTTTTTACAGTTTCTGTGTTGAAACAGGATGTGTGGCTACTTTAAAAACTGATTGCCTATCCCTTGATTCCTTCTGCTTTTAAAGTAGAATGTCATCTTATTTGCAACAAATTCCCCACATACAGGTGGTTCTCGGGTTACAGCTGTTCATTTAGTGACCGTTCAAAGTTATAACAGCACTGGAAGAAGTGACTTATGACCGTTTTTCACAGGACTGGTGCAGCATCCCCAGGGTCACGTGATCCAAAATTCAGACGCTTGGCAACTGACTCATATTTATGACGATTGCGGTGTCCCAGGGTCACGTGATCTCCTTTTGCGACCTTCTGGCAAGCAAAGTCAAACGGGGAAGACAGATTGACTTAACCATTGTGTTGTTAAAGAAGTACTGTGATTCATTTAACCACTGTGGCAAGAAATGTCGTAAAATGGGACAAAACTCATTTAACAACTCTCCCTTAACAAGAAAAATTTGGGGCTCAATTATAGTTGTAAGTTGAGGACTACCTGTGCAGTACTAAGACTTTGGTTCTGTGTACACTTACTAGATGCCAGCTCCATTGTTGAATACAATAAACCGTTATTTTCAAATAAAATGCTTAGGGTCAAGTAGAAAAGATAGGTTTCAGGAGTCATCGTCATTAATATCTAAAGATTTACTGCCTTACATTTCCATGATTTAAACTGGGACAAATGCTGCAGTCCCATCCAGAGCTGGATGATGAAATGCATAAACTAGCAAAATATTGAAGGAAGAATTTAATAGGTAGACCTTTTTTGGGCCAGTTTTGATGCTGCATCCCTCGGCTGTGCTATTAACAAAAGCTAAGCAACTGTGTTCTTAGTAACTGATCTACCAGGGTCCGTCATTGCAATCCCACAGTTGAATGAAGATAGTTTGCTTTTTTTAGAAATAGCCAGTGAATGTTCACTTGCACGTTGTGGCCGAAGTCTACATTCAGGTGTGAAAGCAAAGCACCTTTGACCTCACGTCATGAGACACAAGTTTTACACTTGTTAAGGAATGAACTATTGCTTTAAAATGTAAAGATAGATCTTTGTTTTGCTTTCCAAGTATACCTGCCTGAATGTCTAAATCGGTATTTCTCAAAGTCAGCAACTTTAAGACGTGTGGACTTCAACTCCCAGAAGTCCCCAGCCAGCCAGAGACACTGATGTAAATGGTCCCAACACCCCAGATGGTGCTACTGCATTTGTTTTGCTCTGTGTTCTGGGTGGAGTCCAGATGTTTTGACCCACTTCACTGAGTGACAATTAAAGCGCCCAATATAATATTAACAAAACATAATATTAGCAAACTTGCCCGACTGTAGGTATGTCCTGTATGTAGATTTAACATCGTGAGCACAAAATACACATGCTGTGTTAGTAGTAACTTTGCCCCTCCAGTGAAAGTCCTAAAATTTGGGGTACTTTCTGTTCAGTTCCAGGTCTGTATGGAATTACAACAATCCACCTTTTCTTTCTGAGCTGTTCCAACTGTTGTTTTGAAACTTTTTTCCCCTTCTTTTATTGTGCTTTCTTTGGGAGTTTGGTCTTCCTGTTTTCTGTACACAGGATTTTGTTTCTTGCCACTCCAGTTTTGTTACATACCTTCCTGGGTTTTCTCTGCTCTGCACCTTTGAACTTAGCAGATGTGATCTTCGTAATTTAGAGTTCTCTCTTTTCTTTAAAACATTTCACAGTTCTATTTTTCCCCATGCCAGGGACAAAATTTGAAATGTGCAACTTCCAGTAAAATGAGGAATTATATTATTGTTGTCTTAAGGAATGAAAAGGCCCTACTTTGTTTTGATCATTAAATGCTCAGACCAAATAGTGAATTTCACAGAGTTAATTGAAAACACCACATCTTAACTTTTGAATTACATCAGGAAAGGAACATATATGTTAATATAACCAGCCACAAATCTTTTGATAGATTGGCACCTACTTTTTGCTCCGTAGGTTATTTACAAATCACACCGCAGGTATCCAGATTATGCTATAGCTCTATCCTGTATCCAACAGGAGCAAATAGTTACTCCCCCCCCCTTCCCCCTCTCCCCGCCTTTCTAAGCTGTTACTTGGGACCTGCTTATTTTTCCCATCTTCTCCCCTTTTGTCCTTGGCAGCTGTTGTTGAAGGGCTGGTTAAAGGTTCAGTCACAGGGCATTGAAAAATAATTGACGAGATCTCTTGCCTGTTTCATAGGAATCTGGAAAAGAGACGTGAAAACTCAGCTCCAGCTTTTCTGAGGTTTGCATAGCTTCCTTTTGTGGTTGCCTTGTGGTGAAAGGTTAGACACACTTAACTGTCCTACAGATAATAGATTAGCTTACATTAGCCAAGGTGTTAGTCAGGAAGCCTACACAGATTCGCTATTTTGAGTTTGCTCTATTCCTGAGAAATGTAGAATTCTAGATTATCTGGAGCATGGACAGGGAATAGGGAGATTTGCCTGATTGCTCGAGATTATGACAGGAGTTAAGCAAACCAAGAATTCTGTCTGTGGCTCCTTCGGGATTATGCAGTAGTTGCCTATTATTATTATTTTAAGAGGTAGCTGTGCGAACCGTGTTAAATAGTGATTCGGCTCTCCTACCAATACGCGATTTGACTCCGATTCTGTGGGGAATCACCGATGCAACAATTCATATTAATTTGGGAAAGTGAATTGATTTGACTTCCCAGACTGATTTGATAAAGCAGCTTTTGTGATGAGCAAAATCTTTTTGAATCATCCAGCAGCGTGTGGACTCTTGATTATTCCGGGCAGGTCGAAAAGCAGCATGGAAGCTTGGGTTGAATTGCGTTTGAAGTTCAGTCTCCGGACTGGATTTTTGTGAAAGATTCAAGGGTGGGAAAATACGGAACTTGAAGCATCAACACATATGAAACATGCCAAGTTATAAAAGGTGTTATTTGAGGGCACATGTGTGTGTTGTATGTTTTTCTAAATAGAAAAAAAAAAATCTGATGGGGATGAGCAAATTGCCATGGCCTGAATAACCCTACTAGACTTGACTGGCTGATGACCTTCAATATTGGAGGCTCTGATTGGTCGGGATAATGTGATGGTGCTGAAGACAGTCCTGAACAGACTGCTAGAATTAACACGTCTTTTTTACATGTACTGCTTTCTCAGTGGAAAGCGGAATTAATAGCTGTGATTATTTTGTTTGTTAAGGGAGAGGCAAGGTGACTTAGCAAGTTCACATTGGGTGTGATATAACAGTGGCACACTCTTCCCTGTTCTTCTAGCTCTAATTTCCGGCTCTGCTTGTACTCTTACAAATAGGCCTGAGATAACTATTTGTTTAACTTCTGATTATACAGTTGCATTATGAACCTATGTTGTGCTTGTGTACAGAGTGCCATCCCTCTTTCAAGGTGCCACTTTTCAAATTATTAGTTTGTCCCTGCAGAAGAGTAACATTAGCATCATATTAAAACTTAACTGGCCAACATTGAAAAAAGGAGGAGGAGGAGGATGTTAACCTTGGAGTTAATCTATGCCAGGGGTCTTCAAGCTTGGCCCTTTTATGACTTGTGGACTTCAACTTCCAGAATTCCTCAGCCAGGCACGCTGGCTGAGGAATTCTGGGAGCTGAAGTCCACAAGTGATAAAAGCGCCACGTTTGAAGACCCCTGTTGTAAAGCAAAGAGCAGCTGAAGTGAGATTGTAAAGTCCATGTTTCACTTGGTGGCCAGTTCTCTTAAAAACCAAGTCGCCAGTCCCATTTGTGGTTGCTAAATGAGGATGACCTGTATCTTTGATGGATAGTTCGCCTCACTTATATCGAAAGAGAAAACCCTTAGCTAGGCCTTGGGTCTTAGGAATTCAGGGTGCATATTGATAACTGTCACCCATCTTTCAAGGGCTCTGGCACCTTCAGGTTTAGCTCCATGAAGGTCAAAGCCACCATGACGAGGAGGAACACCACCTTTGATGCCTCCTTTTTTGACTCAAATTCCGTAAGCCAACTCTGTCACAAGCAAGGGCAAGCATCCTCATAGCTTTCTATCCAAGCCGGCTGGGTGAAATTGCAGCAGGAGTTGAGGGAACCTCCACCAGCATCAGAAAGGTAATCAAGATGATCAAGCAGGTCCTTCTCAGGTCCAGGCACGCTCACTTAAACATCAATTTACATTCATGAGTTGCTCATGTTTCAGGTTGACTTCTAGTGCAATATTAGGCATGCCTGTATAAGCATGTTTCGTAGAGGTCCGAAAGGCAAATATGGAGATTAAGTAGAATTTAAAGACTTAACTCTTTTTGCTCTCCAACTAAACCCCGTCAGAACATGAGTTTTATGCCCTTGTTCTCTCCTAGTTTTAAGGGGAGCATGTAAGGATCTCTCTCCACTGTGATTATTCAGTGGTATAATTCTGCTTTTCAGACTCTCACATCCCGCCTGTCAAATCAGTACAGTACTGTAATTTTTATTCTCGATGAGATTTCTTACCCAGCATGGTATATCTCTGTATATTGTGAGTCTTTATGGCTAGCGTAAAGTGTAGATCTTTTTTTTTTTTTAAAGTTTCATAAAATGTTGAACTTAAAAAAAAATACATAATTTTCGGACAACAACATTGGCGTTCAGTAAATTATCCTTTTTTCTCAGTAGCTATTTTTTTTAGGAGAGGCTGTATGTATCACAAGGCTGAACTGTATAGTACGTTTTGTTGAATTTTCAAAGCATTCTTTTCCACTAAAATATAGCCTTGATTCTCCCTAGGTGGAAACAAGGTTAGACTATTACTGAAATATCTGTTTGTTTATTATCTGTCGTATCTAGCTGAACAATGGCATTCAACCTCAGGATTGGTGTTACAGCTTGCTTTAGATTCATTTCTCCCTGCTCAGACTCCTTTATCCTCTGTATAATTTCTTTTAGAGATTTTTCTTGATAAGAGATTTTTCTTCATTGATTGGAGGTATTACTCAAAGACTTGGTTTATTTGAGTGGGATAAAAATTCCATAGCAAAATTTGGATACGTTTTTATACTTACATTCATCTGATGTTGCTCATGTTATATTTTAAAAAAAGAGCTTTTACTCTAATCAACAAATTATAATAGTTAACAGCTTGGCAAATAAGCTTTAGGCAGCAATTTAAAAATAATTGCTATTGCACGCCATCGGTGGACCCCTCCAAGGGGTAATAATTAAGAATCTTTTTAGTCTGTGCATGTATCTTATTTGGAAGGCTTTATAACATTGGTTAGTTGAGTAAAAATTGGGCTTGGGCCAGCAAGATATAATAATCTTGGACAAAATCCCATCTTAATCTAACCTTTGGTTTTAAGGTGTGTCCAGTCAGATGCTGTTGTAGAAAGTTCACAGAGAATCTGTTTGTTCCCAACATCCAAACAATTGTGGAAACATCCGGCTGCTGAATATGGAGATCCTGTTGTCTAATTTAGATAATATGAAAGCCGTTCATGTGCAATAACTTGTTTCTAGTGCAAAATATTCTCTGGTGGATTTAAAGCATATAACCCGTTTTATGCGTAGGACAACAAAGAGGAGAAAGATATCCTCGCTAAGGCTTGTCTGCTAGCTGATGTACTGCAAAAAGGAACAATGAAGCCATCCGAGTGCTAATGAACATGTTAAATTAGAAGCGTGTGCGTGGGAAGGGAAATTTTCAGAAATCAAAAGCCGTCAATTGAGGTTCACTGATCCTTAAAACCTGATAGCTTATTATCTGTGCTATCTTCCTTTCAAAAGGTTCCTTAAATATGCCAACAAGCAGGGATTTATTATCAGAGTAAATTAAATTAAATTCTTTTCCCCTAAAGTTTTGCAGTGTTTGCTCTGCTGTATAATGTACCAAAACCCCGTTTTATTTTTCTAGGAGAAGAGGCAGCTTTTGAAGTTTCCTATTCTTTGGTGGTTCTTTCTGCCGGTGGCCTCTTAGTTTTGATACTCCTGCTTGTAAACTGTGTTTCCTGTTGTAAAGATCAAGAGATTAACTTTAAGGTGAGTAGTATCAAGAAATAATTTTCTTCACTGTGCAAGTAATCCTTGGCTTAACGACCACAACGTTTTTTTTGCTGCTGATTGGAAATAGGGGAAGGTCATGTTTGTATTGTTCAGCTGCTATCCACGTGACTTACCATCATTAAGAGGGGCTAAAAATGGCCTAGGTCCATTTCCCTCAATCAATAAGTAAGAAAGAATGGCTGGAACCGCACAACTTTGCCGTCTTTTGCTTTGGGCGATGTAGAAGAATAACAAGGCAGAATCATAAATCATAAATTGCCTGCAGTACAGTGGATCAAAGGTTAAAAAACCATTTTCATCCTCCGAAGTTTCCCTGGTGGCAGAATTTGACCCTTCTTATTCCCTTTGCACTCCAGGCTAAAAGGTTTTGCAGCTAAATTAAGATTGGCTTCTGCATCATCCACGGCTAACAAAAGTATGGTTTTTCAAAGAACTCTAGTGCTATATGGTGCATGATGTGTTTTGCCAATCAAGCCTGATTTGTCCAAACTAACTTCAGTGTAAAAAAGCAAAGCAAAATCTTTTTGGCAAGCCAGACCCATGTGCAGCTTAAGCCATGAATATATTTTTAGTGTTACTTACGGTTGGTATGAAGTTATTTTTCTGCTACGGCGAAATGTAACTTTGCATCTTGATGCTGCATTTTAGCAACGCATTACTATTCTTGTGTCTTAAAATGTGTAAAAACCTTTGAAGATGATATAGCAATTAAAACCATCCTTTTGGCCAAAGAGAAAAATGTTCATCTTACCTGTGAACTATCGAGGGAGATAATTGTTTTGATCTTGTTCCTGTTATGCTTTGACATTGACACGAGATGAGCAGCAAATAAATTTAACAATAAATAAATAATAAATAGATGTTGGAATGGTAAGATCTGCAAGTCCGTGCAAGTATAGGTACTAACCTCACAAAGGATAAATTCTGTTATTCTGTTTCTCTAGTTGGCTGAATATCTGTTTCCAGTAGTCATAACTAGTGAGGGAGGTTAACCAGCATCTGGTAGGCCACAGTCTATTCAAGAAACACATCATGTGTTGAATGAAACACCCTACATCAAGGTTCTCAGCCTTAGCAATTTTAAAATGTGTGAACTTCAGAGCTGCCAGGGAAATTCTGGGAATTGCAGCCTACGTGTCTTAAAATGGCTGAGGTTGAGAAACAAACAAACCCCAAGTTGACTAATCTTTTTTTTTATGTGCATTCACCAGTAAAACATGGCATTATAGCATGACTAATGGGCTTAGGAGTGTTTGATGTCTATGGTCTATCTAGACTTATAAACTGGGTTTGGCCTGTCCTATGCAAATCAGTTCTCTGTGTCAGGCATGTGTATGTTAGTCTGCCAATCTCTCTGCCTTTGTAGGAATTTGAAGACAATTTTGATGATGAGCTAGACTTCACCCCGCCCGCAGAAGACACCCCAACAATTCAGTCTCCAGCGGAGGTGTTTACACTCACGGTGCCCAGTGCTTCTCTCCCAGCTCCATCCCAATTCCAACTTCCAACAGGTATGATGATCCCTGTCAGATGCTTGCCCTTCCTCTGCTGTCTCCTCCAGTATTCCATTATGGCACCAGTTGGTTCTGTGACGTTTCTCCTTGCTGTCCCAGGCACAGATGCAATCTTGTGTATGATTGAGAGAAGTAGGCCTGCTTAATTTTGAGGTTTTGGATCCCAGCCAGGCTGTTGTGCCCCAGCACAGGGACCTGTTATAATCCTTGACACGGATGCAACGTGAAGGAGGTTGCTTGGTCAAGCTGTTAGTTAAATACTGTGGATGTCTAATACCTTAAGTATTATGCGTGTACTTTTGAAAAAAAAATCCCATTTAAGTTGGAAGGATGATCATTAAACTCTGAACTCTGGCTGAGTGCGGTGTGGCTTACTCTCCAGTATACCCTGTTGGGTGGTAAAGACAGAAGTAGCTCCAACACTGGAAGTTTTTAAAAAGAGACTGGACAGCCATTTGTCTGAAATGGTGTAGGGTTTCCTGCCTGAGCAGGGGGTTGGACTTGATGACTTCCAAGGTCCCTTCCAACTTTATTATTATTATAATCAGCTGGATTCTGCTGATTTACAGTGTAATTAACAGCTTTTTTTCTAAACATGAATGGGATTATGTAGTGCCAGTTTCTGGCGGATAGGAAATTTGTCTCTTATTTTGTTTGGGGTTTTCTACCTTGAAAGCCATAGTGATGAGAAAAAGAACACAAAGCTACTGAAACCACTTGTTCTCCCCTGGATGCTGTGTTCAACTACACAGATGGCATGTGGACTGGTGGGATAATCTTCCAAACACAAGAAAAAAGAAGCCTGGGACCACCGTCTGTATTTGCAGAACATGGAAAGATAGTTAAAATAGGGGTGTGGAACCCCCACTATTGTCTCCGTATACAATATGAAACCGCCAGCTATGCTGGGAGCTGAAGTCCACAAGTCTTAAAGTTGTCAAGGTTACCGACTCCTGATATAGAATATTGTTTGAGTGTAATCCATTATATAACTACAGCTTTTATGTTCTGTTAACCCATTTACTTATAGTTTAATGTGTGGCATGAACCCAGCTTCGGAATTTTCTCTCTTCCTATGGTACTCAGCGGAATCGGAATAGATTGATTCATAACATTATTAGCTGCTTATACTGTAGGGAAGGAATACAAATGTTGGGTTGTATCCAGTGGTCTCGTTCCTCTGGCAGATGCTGTTACCTTAACTGAACAGTTTCTGATCTCACCACATAGAGCAGATGTTGGAAACAGGACACAGAGAATGCCGTGGCTTCAGACTGATAGGACAGGACAGTTATGATTTTGTCCGGCTGTATTGTAACCTAAGAGTTATATTGGACTTCTTTGAAAAATTGTTTTATTTAGCCAAATTTTGTGACTGCTTCTTTGAACCTATTTGTTTTCTTTATACCCGCAGAAGATCTGAAATCTCAGGTGGCTCGTCAGAATCTCAATTACATCCAAGAAATAGGAAATGGCTGGTTTGGGAAGGTAAGCAATCTGAATCCTGATTATTCTTCTGTTCACTTACCTATCACTTAAAAATATTTTTCATGGTAAAAGTGAACCCACAACAACAAATCTCTTGAATCAATTGTGAAGTATAAGCTGGCCATCTTTGTGGTAAGAAGCTTTAGGGTAGGGATGTTCAACCTTGGCAACTTTTAACTCCCAGAATTCCCCAGCCAGCATGATCCCTAACTCATTAAAATACAGTATATTTACCTCAGGTGTATCCAGGCTTGGAAACCTTAAGACTCGTGGATTTCAACTCCCAGAATTCCCCGGCCTGCATGACCCCAACTCATTAAAATACAGTAGATTTACCTCAGGTGTATCCAAGCTTGGCAACTTTAAGATTCATGGACTTCAACTCCCAGAATTCCCCAGCCATCATGACCCCCTAACTCATTAAAATACAGTAGATTTACCTCAGGTGTATCCAAGCTTGGCAACTTTAAGACTCGTGGACTTCAACTCCCAGAATTCCCCAGCCAGCATGACTCCTAACTCATTAAAATACAGTAGATTTACCTCAGGTGTATCCAAGCTTAGCAATTTAAGTCTCGTGGACTTCAACTCCCAGAATTCCCCAGCCAGCATGACCCCCTAACTCATTAAAATACAGTAGATTTACCTCAGGTGTATCCAAGCTTGGCAACTTTAAGTCTCATGGACTTCAACTCCCAGAATTCCCCAGCCGGCCATTGCATGCCAGGATTGTTCTTCTTTCTGAAGTGGAACTGAGATTTAATTCTTTTGTTTCAGGTTCTGCTGGGGGAGATTTACACCGGCACTAGCGTAACCAGAGTCATTGTGAAGGAGTTGAAAGCCACTGCAAATCTCAAGGAACAGGAGCGGTTTTTGAGATATGGGGAGCCATATTTGTAAGTGGCCTCCTCGGCCTTTCCTAAGGGTACATTTGGAGCAAGTAGAAGAGCAGTAACAAACTTGGCCTGCCCAACCAGGCACTTCACCCATTCCCAAAAATCTCAAGCCAGGTTTAATTGTAGGAAGGTGAGCCTAGAGCTCTGGTTAGTTGACAAATGGGAATAGGAGGAACATTGCATGAGCCGCTGCAAAATGTTTCATGGTGTTTAAGTTTTAAAATGTTTTCCAATACATCAGCGGACGGAGAATAATTCTCCTTTCCCACCCAGATTTTGAATGTCACAAGCCACAAATACAAATAATCGTTCCTGGTCTTTATATTTACTTTCTGGATTTTTCTTTACAGTATCCTTCAGCATCCCAATGTTCTCCGCTGTACCAGCCAATACGTGGAAGCCATTCCTTATCTGTTGGTATTTGAATTTTGTGACCTGGTGAGTCAATGAAATATCAGTCGCGATCCATTTGAGTTCGATGTCCATCTTGCTGATGGTTCCCTTAGAAATTCTGCAAAGTTGAGGAAGATGCTTTTTTTTTGTTTGTTTGTTTTGCCTTTCTTCCGCTGGAGCAGCGAGCTGAGGAAGGAAGCACCATTCGTTGGTAGTCTTAGGTGAAAGGAATGCCAGATGACCTGTTGCATTTGTCCACGGCTTCATCTGAATAATTCTTGTGGCTTGCCTGGATTCCAGGTAGCTAGAATAAACAAGCCAAGTGGACAATAGAAACCATGAACTGGTCTGATAAAATAGAATAAAGGTCAGTTGGAGATCTGTAAGGTTATTTTGCAAGGCAGGTTGCTACACATTTTAAATGCTTTAATGTGTTTGCCTGCAGCCAAAATGTGTTACAATCCTTATTTCAGTGACATTATAGGACAGTGGCATTTCCTAGCAAAGCTGCCCCTGCCCTTCCAGATTCGTTTTTTTCACTTACACACACATACCTGTGAAATACATAGATCTAGGTCAGTCTGGCCTCTTTATGATAATTCTGTAATAATTTCTTGCATCTCTAGAGATATCCAGTGCTAATTCTTTTTCATTTAATTTCCTGGCCTCTGAGGAAGGTGACAGCGGTTGTGTAAAATAAACTGGCATTATCTTTTTTCTTCTTTTTTTTCTGGTGAAAAATACATACTGTTTGGATATATTGTATGTGCATCTGTGTGTTTTCACAGTTCTGATCATTTCAGCTCGTTTGCAAGCAGCAAGTGGCATATTAAACCTAGCAGAAAGCACTTTCTTCCTGTTCACACAAAACAGCTTCAGAAACGGCAATGGTTCCGGACTTTGATTCCGTGCCCATAATTCATATAAGGACTTTGCTCCTAAGGACATGGTGTAATGCAATGAACTTTGCATATAAAGGGGGCTGGAGTCCATAAGCACACCTGCTGCTCTTTTAATCATGGCCATTGGAAGACATTGCGGTCTGTTTTAGTCCAATTCAAGCTTGTCTTGAAAGCAGAAGAACATAATATACAACAGCTGCGAAAACACACTTCACTGGTTGCAAATATATGAGATGAGGGTAGCTTTTGTAAGTGAGAAAAAGAGTGGGAGGTGATGCTAGTGTTAATTTGCATTTGTGCCCCTCAGCCCTCAGCGAACACATACATTTATAGCTACAACTGCACGCAAGAACATTGGTGAAATGAGGTGGTAAAAGCGTCTTCTGATTTAAGCAGATGAGTCCCGGTTACTTTGCTACACAGTCACATTCCCATGTGGCCGCTGGCGTTGGCATTTAGAAGGGGTTGGAGCAGAATTTTAAAGTGGTAAACTTGGCCTGCTTTGTCAGTATTGGTGGGTATGTTCTGATTTATCTAGATCTAATTAATTTATCTAGATATCAGAGAAAGAAGCAACTTAGAACTAAAGAGAAATTTCCTGACAGTCAGAACAATTAACCAGTGGAACAACCTGCCTCCAGAGGTTGTGAATGCTCCAACACTGGAAGTTTTTAAAAAAAGACTGGACAGCCATTTGTCTGGAATGGTATAGGGTTTCCTGCCTGAGCAGGGGGTTGGACTAGATGATCTTCAAGGTCTTCTTCTTCTTCTTCTTCTTCTTCTTCTTCTTCTTCTTCTTCTTCTTCTTCTTCTTCTTCTTCTTCTCCTTCCTTCTTCTTCTTCTTCTTCTTCTTCTTCTTCTTCTTCTCTCTTCTTCTTCTTCTTCTTCTTCTTCTTCTTCTTCTTCTTCTTCTTCTTCTTCTATTTTCCATTCAGTTGTGTCTGACTCTTGGCGATTCTATGGGCCTGGTTTTTCCACATCTTCCAATCTTGCACTGCTTCTTTGAGTTGTTTGACCCTCTGGCTGGTGTCAGCTTTGATGGTCTTCAGCCACCCACTGTGTTCTTTGACTGTCTGGTTTCCTTTTACCATTAACTCTCTCAAACAGAATGGTTTTCTCCAGTGAATTCCCCCACCTGACGTGGCCAAAGGAAGTGAGACGCAGTTTTGTGATTTCGCCTCCTAGTGACACGTCTGGTCTTATTCCCTCCAGTACTTACTTGTTAGTCCCCATTGCTGTCCAAGAAATGGGCAGGAGCCTATTTTAATATTTTCTGGCCGTTTTCTAAACCAGCAATTGCTCTCTACTCTCCCTTTGTCCAAGATGATTGTATAGTAAGCTTACACGGTCCCATTTAATCTATAATTAACTAATGGTGTGGTGTTTTTTTTTTCCCCTGTCATCATGGAGGAGGTTCCCCAGGTTAAAAATAGGGTAGTAACCAGTTTAATAGCTGTAATAAATTAGCCGATGATATGTGGCCCATCGGCACACCAAATTCCTTGTTGATAGAATGACGAATGGTGAGCAGAGATTTGCATTGTAAAGTAGATGTGCTGTTTCAGTTCCCCGTAAGGTGGTGCCGGTATTGGCTGGAGCAGTTAGTGCCCAGCCCAAAGATCTGAAAGCACCGTCCTAACTTCACATAGTCGCTAAAGGAAGGACTACCCATAATGCCTTTTTGAGATGTCTTGTTGAAACCTTGACACTAAAGCTGTCATGAATGAACTTGTCAAAGATTAGAAAGGTGTCACCTTAAGCACTCCGTAGCTAATTAACCAGGATTACTCTGGAGCTCTTCCCAGGGGGAGCCCTTGCGTCCTCTGGGACATCAGTATCCGAAGCAAATATAGCTTTGCCCTGTCTGCCTGCCTCTCTGTTTGCTGATGAGAAAGACAGCCTGTAATTAAATTCAAAAACAGAAAGGCTGCTGCATGCTGTGCTTTGAGCAGTAATGTCCTAGGGCTATACCTCTCTCCCCCCCCCCGAATTAAAATAGAATAGAATTAGAGTAGAATAGAGCTGGAAGGGACCTTGGAGGTCTTCTAGTCCAGCCCCCTGCTCCAGCAGGAGAACCTATAACGTCTCAGACAAGTGAATGTCCAGTCTCCTCTTAAAAAATCTCCAGTGATGGAGCACCCACGATTTCTGGAGGCAAGGAGTTCCACTGGTTGATTGTCCTCACTGTTAGGAAGTTTCTCCTTAATTCCAGGTTGCTTCTCTCCTTGATCAGTTTCCAACCAATGTTTCTCATCCTTCCCTCTGGTGCTTTGGTGAACAATCTGGCCCACTCTGCCTTGTGGCAGCCCCTCAGATACTGGAAGACTGCTATCATGTTGCCCCTATTTCTTCTTTTCTTTAGACTGGCCAAACCCAATGATGCATTTAGAGTCAAGAGATCTAAGAAAAGTAATTGGTTTTAAAAACGAATAAATGGACTTTAGACTTTACAGCAGCCTGTGATGATATAGCAAGTCCTCTCCCCCCCCCCTTTCTGGAAAATTGTCTTTTTTTTTCTCTGCTGTTGCACTGCCCCCTAGTCAGTTCTGTTCAGTGTTTCTTTCACTTTTCCAGCCAGCTTAATGTCCTGCTAATGTCTTTTTGGCCCCTAGGAAATATTTTTCTGCTATTCCGGACTTTGTAAACTTTTAAGTCTTTAAGTCTTCAGACAATTAAATATTGACTGAAGTGCTTTTGTGGCTGAAACACATTGTTATGTGTCTGTGTTGTAACTTATTTCTCTGGGGCAGATTCTGATTTCATCTACAGTAAATTATGGGCGTTATGACATGTTTCTGGATATAGTATTTCCCTTTTAAAAGATTTCAGAAGACTTGAACTATTATTGGAGAACTGACAAACATTGCAAAGCCCAAGTGTAAGTTTTCTTTGCCCAATCATCACAACTGCTACTTTACTTTTCTTACGGTACTTATATTTTTTTCTCTCTTAATTCCTCATCCTTTTTTCTCCCAAAGAAGAGTGATGGACATACTTTTTCACCTTCCTACAATTTTAAACCACAATGTTTCATATCCGGCTGCTGGGTGGCTTTAATTAAGGACCAGCATGTTTTTGTGTGTCTCTTGTATGGCACCTTAGGGGACTTGAAATTTAATGACAGTGCTCTTTCTTAAGTATCAGTTTATTTATAAATACTGCCAGTGGTCTGGTTGATGGGCAAGTGTTAAACTATGTGTTTAGTTGCTGTTTCGTTAAAGTATCTGGCAGGAGAGGCTGTTTATAACCATCCTCAAATTGGTTTTACAGGGTGACCTAAAAGCCTACCTTTGCAACGAGCAAGACAACATTAAAGGAGATTCTCAAATAATGCTGCTACAGAGGATGGCCTGTGAGATTGTGGCGGGACTTGTCACGATGCACAAACACAATTTTGTGCATGGGTAAGTCTTGAAACGCTGAATGCCATGGTGGTTCTTTGACGTAGCCTTAGCAAAGTAGAGTGTCATGGATAGCTGGGGAATTCTGGGAGTTGAAGTCCAGACTTTTCTTAGAGTTACCAAGATTGAGAAACATTGCTCCAGATGGCACTGTTTGCTAAGGTTGACCTAAGGTCTCTGACTCAAAGAATGCTGGCCAAGAAGCAGAAAATCTATTTGCAATCTAATTGCTGATGATCATTCAGGTTTAAAATAGCAAGACAAATATAACAGTTGAATGGCTGTTGCTATGGCACTTGAGAACCAAGCTGGATTTAAAGCTGAAATCTACCCTCACATTCTCAAAGATAGCTTAAGTAGCATTGGTTATGCTCCTGAAATTTCTCATTTCATCTTGTATTGAGATTTCAGTTTTTCTCACTGCGATATTCCTCTGTTATTATTATTTTTGTTTTACAGAGATTTAGCTTTAAGGAATTGCTTCCTTACGTCTGATTTAAACGTAAAAATTGGTGATTATGGAATAGGATTCAGTAGGTACCAGGTAAGTCAACCCATTTAGAAGACCTGATTTTGACAGAATCGAATTATTATTTAAAACCCTGTTACTCAGTTGTTGGATGTTATCCTATACTATCCAATACATTTACATGTGGACTGATACTGACTTGCAAATAATTATCAGAAAGTGCCAGGCTACACTGAAGCACCTCCATTCTTCTCTTCCTAGTTGGTTTTGCCGACATTGGTCTGTTCCGGGTCCGTGTTGACTCAGGGCAATGAAAGGCGTGTGTGTGAAAATATATCCCCCCACCCCACCTCATTCTAATCCAGTCTGGACCCAGCTTAATGAGACTGTTGCATTTTCCTTCAGGGGAGAAAGATTTCCCGTATTGCTTACCTCTGAAGACCACATTCCAGAAAATGCTACGAGAATACAGCATGCCCAATTACATTTTTTTTTTTTTAACCGAGAGAAGAGAATATGTAGCTCAGGGTTGAACTGTAGGGTCCTTGGTGCTCCCTGAGCTTGGTGGTTTTCTTGCAGACCTTTCATGACCCAACTAGGGAACATCATCAGTGCTAGAAGGGAGGAGGAGGAGGGGGAGGAATGAGAAGAAGAACAGAAGGAGGAAGACTGTGGGATCCTTGGTGCTCCCTGAGCTTGGTTGTTTTCTTGCAGATCTTTCATGACAACAACAATAATAATAATAAAAAAAAAAAAGTTGGAAAGGACCTTGGAGGTCATCGAGTCCAACCCCCTGCTCAGGCAGGAAACCCTACACCATTTCGAACAAATGGCTGTCCAGTCTCTTCTTAAAAACTAGAAGGGAGAGAGAGCAAACCCCACTCCCTTCTAACACTGATGACGTTCCCTAGTTGGGTCATGAAACGTCTACAAGAAAACAACTAAGTTCAGAGACCACCAACATTTTCCTTCTCATTCTGTTAACTGTTTATAATATTCTTGTGCTGCTCTTTCAGTTCTGGGAAAAAAAACAAAACAAGGAAGGGGTTTCTAATTCCCGGGACACTTTTCAGTAGTGGAAAATAGACCCAAGGGTGGGTGCAGCTAAACAGAACGAAAGGCGGTTAATTCCTTTCGATACGCCCTTCCCTTAAGACCTACGTTTGAATGTCCTTTCCTGCTAGGAAGATTATATTGAAGCAGATGAAAACAAACTCGTGCCCCTCCGATGGACAGCTCCAGAACTAGTGACCAGCTTTCAGGATCGGTTGCTAACAGCAGAACACACGAAATACAGCAACGTCTGGTAGGAAAATGCAAAGTTATAACAAGGGTGGTGGAGGAATGTGGATTCATAGATCACAAAATCAACCATGATTCCATAAGGTGATGTTCACGGTCTCAGTAGCTCTTAATTTTATTTGTCATAATAATTGGATGATAAAAATGTGCCCAAATTCTAGACACCGATAAACCAAACCAATAAAACCTACCACGGTAAACAAATCCATCCTCCTAAGGACTTTTCACCCAGTCCAACCAATTAAGTCTCCCCCACCCCCAGCTGTATTTTAAAACTTAAGACCCTCTCCACTACAGCCTTTTGTGACACAGAGAGGCACAACACGAGTCGGCTCCTCATATTTGTTCCAGCCTACTCTAAGTAGCGAATCCTCTGAAAGTGTGAACAACCCCGGGGCAAAGAAGCTGGGATCCCACGAGCCCTGTCGTGAACTGACATCTTACTGAAGCCTCCTCTTTCTGCAGGGCCCTGGGAGTGACACTGTGGGAACTTTTCAGTGGCGCCACGAAGCCTTACTCCGAGCTCTCTGACGAGGAGGTTTTGACGCAAGTCATCAAAGAGAAACAGACCAAGCTGTTGGAACCCCCGCTTGAGCAGCCTTATTCTGATCGATGGTGAAAACACCACATTTTTTTTACTTTCAGTCGAGCTCTGTTATAAAATAAGAATTTCAGTGTGGTTCAAAAAGCTTGAAGCATTTTGCTAGCCTACAAATGATCGGGGGGAGAGGGAGGGAGGGAAGAAAGGAAAGGAAAGAGGGAGGAAGGAAAGGAAGGAAAAGAAAAAAGGAGAGAAGGAAGGAAGGAAATAAAGTAAAGGGAGGGAGGAAGGAAGGAAAAGAAAAAGGGAGGGAGGGAAGGAAGGAAAGAAATAAAGTAGAGAGTAAAGGAAAAGAAAAAGGGAGAGAAGGAAGGAAATAAAGTAAAGGGAGGGAGGAAGGAAGGAAAAGAAAGGGAGGGAAGGAAGGAAAGTAGAGAGGAGAGAAGGAAAGAAAGAAAGTAAGTAGAGGGAAGGAGAGAAGAAGGAAGGAAAGTAGAGGGAAGGAAGGAAGGAAGGAAGGAAGGAAGGAAGGAAGGAAGGAAGGAAGGAAGGAAGGAAGGAAGGAAGGAGCTGAGTTAAGGGTCATTTGTGGATTGTCTCTCTACTTGTGATTTCTACAGCTAGTTAAACAATAAAAACTTTCCAGCTAAGATCATTTTGAAAAGCAAAGTTACTTTTAAAAAATGTCAAAAGAACGCTTGCCCTGGCGCAGTACTCTTGTGTCACAAACCGTACTTGAAATCTCATCCTTACAGGTATGAAGTTCTGCAGTTCTGCTGGCTGTCTCCGGAAAAGCGAGCCACGGCCGAGGAAGTCCACAAGCTTTTAGTCTATCTCTGCATGCAAAGCCAAAGGGATTCCGTAATTGATCCTGAACAGTGGGACGACCTCAAGCCGAACGTTTCAAACCGAGAGCCTTTGGGGAGCTCTGCCTTTCCGATCCTGGATCATTTCAACGGCAGCCGGTTTGGCCGCGAGATGGAGGAGGTTCTCACGGTAACCGAAACGAGCCGAGGACTCAACTTTGAGTACATTTGGGAGGCCGCCAAGCACGACCACTTTGAATGCAGTCAGTCAAACCCCGTTGAAACCAAGACTTACACAAACATCTTCTTCCCGGTGGAAGTTTTTGAGAACACGCTGACCGAGCAAGGGCCTGGAGCTCAGGTTGAAAGTGGACAGGAAGTTTCCCTGCTGGTGCCTGGAGAACTTCCTGTGTTTAACGCCCGCAAGCCTTCGGTGGGAAGTGATTATTACATCCAGTTAGAAGAAAAGATTGGAGGCTGCAGTAGCCTCAACTTTGACCACCAGGTGGCTGAATGGACGACAGAAGTGGACAGTTCTGAAGTTCTGAACGACAAAAAGGGTCACGTTGTGGTTCTAGAACACTTTGCTGCTGAATCTACCACCGATGGGGATATTTTCTGTAATAATACAGATCCCAAGGAAGAGAATTTGCACAGGGCTGACCCAGTTGACCCTTCCCCAAATGGTGGCGTTGACAAAAATGAACAATTGGCAAATGGCAGACTTGGTAGACTTGATTTAGCTGATATAAATGATATTCGTCTGGAGCTGCAGGCAATTTCATTCTCAGATCCTGAGGAATCTACCTGTGGCCTGCCCAAGAAGGAAAGCTCTCCGCTTGCTTCTCAAAATGATTACTTGCAGGAAGATACCTCACAGGAGTCTGAACTTAGCCAGCTGACTTTAGAGGAGCTATCTGACAACTTCCTTTTTCTTCAGGAGAAGAATCTATTAAAGCAGACAGCGAGGAACCAAACCGATAAAACAGACCCACCAAATATGAACTCTTTGGGAGTTGAATGTAACATGAGTGGGAAAGTTCATGACACTAAAAAGGACTTTCTTGGGCGAATAAGGGCACTTCCTGGTTCCCCTGTGATAGATAAGCAGCTCCTGTTCTCCTTTTCTAGCCCTGGGACAAGCCCTCCTAACCGAATAGTTGGAGATAACTCTACCCAGAATCCTGCTGCTTCTTGCATTGGAATGAAAGAAGTCTCTGAGCTCGGTTCAACCCAGGTCAAAAACCAGACCGATGACATCAGCTCATGTCCTGGTGTCACACTCAATGCTCAAGAAAAAAGCGAGGAAAATAAACAGGAACTTCAACACAGCCCTCGTGCCTGGGAGCTGAGCCATGAAATAAACTCTAAGAAATCAGAAGAAGATAACTCTGATCTTCTAAAGGGAAGTGGTAGAACGTCTCAAGTTCAAAGGTCTGACAGAGAGGGTCTTCTCCCCACAGATCGTATCAGTCATGACAGCCTACTAGAAGACAGTTCCTCGGGGTCAACCCCAAGCCTGGGACAACTGGCAGATACACCAGACTCGTTTGAGACATTAGACATTAACGAAGGTTTAGAATCCTTTGAGCCAGAGAGCCCTCAGAAATGTCTGCCCCCCGATAAACCTGCCGATAGCGGTTATGAAACTGAAAATCTAGAATCTCCCGAATGGACGTCACATCTTCTGGGCAGCAATTCTAACGAATCAGCTTTATCTAACGCCGGGGGAGATCTTTTGCAGGAGAACCCCGTGGTCATCGTGTCGGCAGAGGTCAATTCTTACGCCGACCCAACAAAGATGGATAATTTTGAAGCAACCCAAACAGTTCTGGAGGGCACCCATAATTCATATAGAGATTCGGCCTATTTTTCCGATAACGATTCCGAGGTAGATAAGAAAGCGGAGGTCACAAATCCATCCCAAAAGCCAACAGTATTAGCCAAGGACCACCCGGATTCCTTTGAAATGGAAAAAGCTGGGAATACAGAAAATGCTTTAAGCAGCAATGAAGTAGCTAATTATCAGTTCATCCATGACCTGACCTCACCGCTGGATGTGGATGGAGAAGACCACGAGTCTGACGAAAGGAAACAGGAGTGGCTTCGTAAAACCGAGGATACGGCTTCGTTGCCGCAGCTCCCTGACCTAGAACGCATAGTTGAAGATGAAATATATGAGGCTTTCCCTACAAGTGTCTCCTGCACAGGCACCAGTACGGCAGATTTTTTCCCCGAGGGTGATCTGAAGCTCATGCCCACCTTGTACGGTGCTCCAGACACCTTTGAAACATCCTTCTTGGGTCAGCTTGAAGGCCATAAGCTGAAAGAACCAGACATTGAAGGCAAATATCTCGGTAAGCTTGACGTGTCTGGGATGCTGGATCGCTCCTTAGACGAGGAGGATGCGGACGAGGAGGATGGAAACAGTGACGATTCGGAGGACGATATGAAGACCTTCCATCTCCAGGGGCTGAGCTCTGACAGCGATGAGGATATTATGACGCATCAAGTGCCGGAGATCATTAGCGACGGCAACGATGGGAAGCATCTGAGAAGCTTGCTGAAGCAGCCAAAGCAACAGGAGGGGAATAATTCTACCGAGGCCTTTCAGAAGAATGGGAAAAAAGCAGTAACGTTCTTTGATGATGTCACTTTATATCTTTTTGATCAGGTATCTTTTTTCTCTCCCCCCCCCCACTTCGTTCTTTCAGAATAGACTCTCTAAAAAAAGGTTGTTTCCTTTTCTGCCTAGGCAAGGCAGAAGAAATCCTATGTCCTGTGTAAAGAAGACAGATTAGACTCTACACTGTCTGTGCCCACTGCTTGTGCCCACGTAGAGAGAGGAGCACACTCAGTGCTACGTCATTAGCCTGGCTTGGTGTGAGACGCCAGTCCTGTCCAATTCATGTCCCTCAAAAGTGACAGAAGGACAGGAAAGGTCAAGGCAGCAACAGTCATCTTGGGGAAAGTATTTTTAAGTATTTAAGATTCCCCTGTTTCTACAAAAAGTGAATCTGCCTTCCCCGTTGATTTTGCTTATCCGTGTGTGTGTGTGTGTGTGTGCGTGTGTGTGACAAAAGGGTATCACGTGATCCTGGGACACTGCAACTGTCCTAAATCTTTTGATCACCTGACCACAGGAGAGGCTATAACGCTTATGTAAAAAACGGTCGTAAGTCACCTTTTTCAGTGCCGTTGTCCCTTCGGTTGCTCAACAAGCTACCCATAAGAAGCTAGCTGCGTGGTGTTGTGTTTTTTTAAATCCTTTTTTAGGAAATGCCAACCAAAGAACTCGGAAAGCGTATTGCCGAATCAAACTCCAATCACACTCCCGCCCTTGCTGCCAGTTTTGGTTACTTGAATAAATTCACCAGTTCGGAAAGCTCTACGGACGAAGAAGGTATCCATTCTGCTTCTCTTGGTTATGAACATTATAAAAATAGGTCCCCTAACCAGATAACCCTAAGATTTGGCATTGCCAGCTAACATCGTTCCTCTTAACGTCTGCAGAAGGTTTGTTTTCCAGTTAAATTTCTCCAAACCTCAATTTTTCCAGGCAAGCAGATCTTGCTTTATCACATCCAAGCAAGCTTGCCTTTTTTTGTTTTTTAACCGTTTTGTTCCCTTATCTGACAATTCCAAAATTCCATCAAAATAAGCACCCTCTAGAATGGGGGCGCCGATAAGTTTACTCTGCACGCAGAAGGCTAAATGGTTGTTGGGAACCCCTATTTATCAGGGCATTTTCAAACCAGGTTACCAATAAAGGAGAATATTTATAGCTCGGGGTTGAAATGAGGGGTCCGTGATGCTCTCTGAGCCTGGTTGTTTTCTTGCAGACGTTTTGTGACCCAATTAGGTAACGTCATCAGTGCTAGAACTATGCTGTTGATTTGAAGCATCCTTGATAGAGAAGAACCACGGGTTTCAATGGGTTTTAATGGACATCAGAGGTCCCTCTTCTCTTCTCTGAAATGTCCCTGTGATCTGCTTGTTCCAGGAGGTTTTGAGTGGGACGATGACTTCCCTTCTCCTGGGCCCTCCGTGATTTTGAAGGCAGCCAGCACCCTCATCAGCTCCAAGACTTCCTCTCTTCAGACCTCAAAGTACCTCTCTCCTCCACCGCCCCTCCGAAGCCCCGAGCAGGACTGGTTCCGCCCTTCCCCTTACTCCAGGTTCTCTATCTCACCCGCAAACATTGCAAGCTTCTCACTCACTCACCTTACAGACTCGGACATCGAACAAGGAGGTGAGTGTTTTCACCAGCGTGATCTTGAGAGCTAGGAGTTTCCTACACATCAATAAAGCAGGTTCTTCATTTGCCTCATTTTCATTTTTTTTTTTTTTTAAAAATCATGGAACTGGGACATATTTTTACTGTGCCAATGGCCTGGTACTGAGTGTTTGGCTACACGCTCCGATCCCCTAGAGAAACGCTGTTTGCACTTGGCTGAGGTGCTGATTAGATAAGCCGCATTGCTTGTTGCAGCCGGTAAGTCCAGCGTTCGAGATAGGGCAGCTTTCTTTGATGTCCCCCAGCCGTGACATTGAAGTGTGCAATTGAGATAGTTGCGCTTGGGAGACTTGCAGGTGTGCCCACGTTGCGGGTTTTGTAATAGGAGGTGGAGAACACCACCTTGAACATCAGAATGCCCCTTGCAAAGAAGGGGAGGGGGGGGGGAAAGCCTGATTCCAGCCCTCGGGGAAACTACTATACCATCCATATGGGGTGGCTGCCTTCAGCACACCTTTTGCGTAGGGAATTTTAAAGATTCTCCCCCTTTCATTTCAATTAATTTAGTCTGCTACAAATTACCACAACCAATTTAGGCCTAAAAAAAAAATCTGCAGAGTTTAAACCAGTGTTTATCAACCTTGGCCACTTGAAGATGTGTGGACTTCAACTCCCAGAAATCTGGGGATTCCATGCATGGCTGGGGAATTCTGGGAGTTGAAATCCACTCATCTTCAAGTGGCCAAGGTTGATAAACACTGGTTCAGAGGGTCCTTCCACAAGCAGACTCTCCCAAGTGTTTGCAATTGTAATGACTTTGTTTCCTCAACAGGGAGCAGTGAAGATGGAGAGAAAGATTAAGAGCTGGAAGCTTCTCTCTCGGTCCGTCCTGGCGATGGTGGGGGAAACACCTCTGCTTTGGACTACGAGCCATTTAAAAGATAAAAGTTGCATCTGAAGACTTACAATTAAGTCCTACAATCCAATAACCCATAAAACGACGGAGAGATCACGTAGTCAGAAGCGGAATTTGGAGTGGATGCATTTCACAGTGTACTACCGGTATTTTTGAAAAGCGGTGCATTTTGCATTTCCTCTTTAACAAATTAATAATAATAATCAAAAACAGACCTCCCTATGCTAGCTCTCTCCCAGTACTTGAAATATCCTCCAGAGGATTTGTACCACAGTGACATTCTGGTTTATATATAGGATTGTAATATACTTTTTTGGGGGGAGGGTGGGGGTGTAACCATGTATTATCTGTGCGAACGTGTAAAATTGTATATAGTTGAGTTGCAGATAACTACATTCCTCGATTGGGCTGAGAGCTGTGGTATAGCCAGCCATATTTTGCAGGGTTTTGCTCCTTGCTTAGCTGTAGGCGTGCTAGTTGTGTCCTTGCCAAGTCCTTTTGCATTGTACAAAGCCTTCTGGACCAATGGGAATTGTAGTACTGGCTTATTTAAATTGGTTTCATTTTACTCTTGTGTCTCTTTCCAGACAATCTTCTTGTCAGAGAATGCAGAACTTGAGTCTTCTGGTAGTTCATTTCTTTTCTTTTCTTTTTTAAGGATTTCTCCCACTTGGAGATAAAGAGGAAGATAATTCTCACTTACAATTAACGGGGGTTGGTGGATCAGCTTGTTTTTATTTGTAGTTGGTTAAAAATGGTGACGGTGATGGCCTACTGTTTCTTGAGTTTTGCTTGTTTTTTGTAAGGGAAATTGTCTGGGGTCTTGTTGGATGTGTGTGTTTGCGGTATGCCCATCCAAACGATCCCCTTGGTTACTGGACAACTTCTAGAATTCTCCATGTCCACTTGAAGGATCTGTCAGCATCTGGTCGCCATCCGATAGGAGATTGTTTCACTTCCGCCATTAGTGACCTTTCTTTTTGAAGTCAGGTACTTCCCCCCCCCCCACAAAAAAAGAGGCTTTAATAGATTTGGGTTCCTGGTCTTCCTGGTTCTCAAGCATGAGTGTGAATCACAACAATCTTCAGTAGATCTTTGGCTTTTCCATGACTGATGTAAAGGAGGCTTCCCGTAGGTTTTCTCCCATAAGAGTTCTCAAAATAATTGTCACAAGATCTTTAAGGATGCAAGCTGCAACTTATGAGCTAAATAGGCAGTAGTTCCTTCACCCCAGTTGTTCTAGCCCTGCTTAAAGGATCTTTTCTGAGCTCCATCAACTTTGTATAGACCTGTCTGAACGTTCCTAAAATAGGAGAAGGCCAACTGCGACAAGCACAGTTTTAGTTACACGTTACGTAGGCAAGTACGGTAGCTCTCGCTCTTTCGCTCTCTTTAAAACTTGATTCTCATTCGAAAAACAAGCCTTTGTGCTGTTTTGTACCTTTTGCTCCCACAATTTGGCAGAGGAAGAATATGCTTGCAACCTATTTGTAAAGCTGTTGGGTCATCCTACAAAAGGAACTGCTGAAAGTACGAATTTTGGAGAACTTCTCAAGAGAATGAAAAAAAAAAATACTGTAGGGTTGGACACAAGCGTGTGTATTTTTAATCCTTCATCTGGATTAGTATCTTGGAAGCTTATGTGAAGGATAGCAATGCATAAAATAGGTAAGCATCTTAAGAATTCGGAAAAACAGTAGCATCCTGAGAAATGCTTTTGCTTCTGGGGTTCAGCTTCAGCACCTGCCAACGTGCTCTGCTCTTAGGGGGTGGTCCTTGACAGATCCAACATCTCCTCCTTGACTGGCAGCCTCGGGTCTGGCCTTCTCCACTCTTGGAGACACTTGCAATCTGAAGGGAGACCTCTTCTAAGATGATCATATGTAGGGAACTCAGAACCGAGTATTCTCAACTCTTGTGTTGGGTCGCAGAGTCTGCCTTGGCCCTTGACCTTGCGTGTTAGGAATGTGGATGTTGTCTGTGGCAGATGTCCCCAGGATACGCTTCAAATAACATGAGATCAACACTCCCTTCAAGGCAGAAGACATCTTAATGGCGAAGACCAGTTGGTAGAATTGAGCCAAATGGATGTTACTATTCCTTCATTTTGGAGTCTTGCAATTGACCCAACATGCGTTCAACATTGCAGGGTTTTCTCCAGATTCTGGGGCATCTTCCTGTTGCCTTGCCCCTCCCCTTCCTTCACTTCACTTTAATCCTATGTCTAAACTTTAATACGAATTGCAAACTCCTCTTTTTGGATAAGCCTGGGGCACCTCTTGTCTTACTGAAAAAGTAGAGTTCCAGGTACTCCATTGCCCCAGGCTGCGCCAGAAATCCTTTCTGTGTGGTTGAAATATACATCTCTTTAGGTATTCAAGCTTTTAAAATTAAAGTATGAGCCATTGAAAGTCCCACATTAGTTGTGTTTGGTTTTTTTTAGCTGAGGTGGTATGCTCAGCTTCCCAAATCTGACCCAGATTGTCTAGGTGTCTTAATAAATCCCTAAAAGATTGATTTATGTATGTTCAAGGCCAGGTTATATCTTTTCCTTGAATTGAAGTTCCTGAATGATTACTATTTTTGCACTATAATTTCCCTGACGATCTGGCCTGGTTTGGAGAATTGGAGCAAGTTTGGTGTGTTGTTTAGAAGAAGTTCTGGCTGGCGTTATTTCTGTATTCTGCAGCCTTGTTTCTCTCAGAGCTTGCAGATGGCTCCAAGTGGCCTATGGATGCCTTAGGTCAGGGGTAGGCAACCTTGGCTCTTTTATGACTGGTGGACTTCAACTCCCAGAATTCCTGAGCCAGCATGGGGCAAACTTTGACCCCTTCATGACTTGTGGACTTCAACTCCCAGAATTCCTGAGCCAGCATGGCTCAGCTTGGAAGCCTCTCCCTTTCCCCTCAGCATGGCTGGCTCAGGAATTCTGGGAGTTGAAGTCCACGAGTCATAAAAGAGCCAAGATTGCCTACCCCTGCCTTAGGTCAACCATGGTCCTTCTGCTCTAGACTTCAGTGTTGTTACTTCTCTTCCTGTCACCCCAGCTCAGCCCACCTTTAGTCTGTGACCTGTTCATTTGAACAGCTGAACAACTTTAGCATCGGTCCCTGTGTGGGTCTACATCAGGGCTCTTCAAACTTGGCCCTTTTATGACTTGTGGACTTCAACTCCCAGAATTCCTCAGTCATAAAAAGTCCAGGTTCGAAGACCCCCTGGTCTACATACATGCATGTGTATGTACCAGTATGGAGATGATGGATGGAAGAAGCTTTCTGGTTGTGACATCCAGCCTTTTGAAGGCAGCTGAGCCTCGCCAGATGTTCCCAGCGGCCCCAACAGTCCGCTGGTCCTAGTTTCTGAGGTTCTTCCAGACAACCAAGAGGTCACGTGCTGGCGGTGGCCCTTTGCACTAAAACGTCTGTGTGATCCGGAGCTCAGGAGCGTTGCAAGCAGGCCTTTTGTTGGGAGTAACTTGAAAAGGAGAAACAGCGTCAAGCCGGGTGTCTTTACACAGTTCTCTTACCTAGGAGAAGGCTTTGTTTACGGTAGAGCTGCTGTTTGAGTGATGCACAAGCACGCAATTTCAGGAAGGCTCCTAAGCCCCCCCAGATAAACCAGTTTGTCAGCCTTTTCTTTTTTCGGAATGGACCAGTAGCAGTTCTATGGAAAGCCACCATCACCGTCCAATATTTGTAATTAGGCTAAATGGCTAAATCCTTTCCGAGTTCCGTCCTCTAGAAATAAACGCTGCTGGGTTTTTTTTGTTTGTTTGTTTTGTTTTGAAATGAAAGTTTTCTTTTTTTAAAAAAAAATGACACTAATGAAAGCTGCTCGTGTGTACATTTTAAACACTGTTTTAGATTAATTAGTATGCAGATTTTGTTTTTCTTTTTGTTTGTTTTTTTGAGAGCGAGAGAGACAACTTGGAGGGGTTGTACAGAAAAACAGTTGGCTAAAATTTTATGGGGGGCCAAGGGGCTATTTAGATTGGAAGTATAAATGTGACTGCTTTGGGAAAAATAGCCTTACTAATAGAAAGAGAGGGCGGGGTAGCCAATAGCCCCCGCTTTAATTTGTATAAAATACTTCTGAAGAGAGAGAAAAGAAATTAAAAAATGTCTCTAAGGAAATATTCTAGAGGAGAAATATTGGATGAAGAGCAGATAACAAAATGTTATGTTCCACAGCCTGGATTTTTTTTATTTAATTTTATTTTTACTATTCAGTTAAAACTTGAATGAATTTAAGACGTCCGGTTCTGTTTAGCAATTTGTCTATGATCTTGCACAGTGGTGGGTAATGGTTAAAGCCGTTTCAGTTCTGTGTATATACAATGTTTTATTCTATTTGTACATCAGGAAATTTATGTAACAAAATCATAGGGGAGAAATTTTCCGATTGGGGGTTTAATACAGCGATGAGGTTCGTGGCAATATGCTAGCTAATTAAATTCCAGGTCGAATTTATCTTTAAACTGTGTGTAAATTTTAAAAACTGTAAGATTTCTACTGTACATTGATCATGCATAGTGTGATCCAAGGCTGCTTGTAATTTAAAGAACCTTATTTAATATTCAAAATAAAAATAAAGCTATATATTTATAAGCCTGGCATCTTGATGTTTTTCTGTTTGGATGCGCTCCATGGCGTGTGACATTGGTGGATTGATTGATTGATTGATTGAATGATTATATGTCATCAGGTTGCTTTCCTAGCTCCACATAGACCGATTTTCGCCACCTAAGGTGCCATTTAAAGAGGGTGAAATGTCCCCGTAGACTTTATTGTCTTCACATCGGCTAGTTGGTCTAAGACAGGGATAGGTCACCTTGGCTCTTGTATGACTCGTGGACTTCAACTCCCAGAATTCCTGAGCCAGCCATGCTGAGGGGAAAGGGAGAGGTTTCCAACCTGAGCCATGCTGGCTCAGGAATTCTGGGAGTTGAAGTCCACAAGTCATAAAGGGGGACATAGTTCCCCCACGCTGGCTTAGAAATTCTGGGAGTTGAATTCCACGAGTCATAAAAGAGCCAAGGTTGCCTCTCCCTGGTCTAAGAAGCTCTGTGGTTACTTTGTTCTACAACGTTTGCTAAAGTTAAAAGAAAAACCATAATGTTTGGAGGTTGAATAAATGAATTTTTAAGCAGATATGAAATCTGATATTGGCCGGAGTGTATATGTGTGGTTGTGTGTATGTGTGTGTGGTGGTGGTGGGGAATCAGAAAGAAGCAACCAGGGGAACCAGTTTATAGCTTGGCCTGCACCCAACGAGAACATTAAAGTACAGTTCTTCCTTTCTCCCTTTCTTCCAGCCTGTAATTTTCCCCTTGGATCTTCCACCGTTCTTATTTGAGCTAGATGGGCTTTTCCCACCACAAAATCTTACAGATCAGAGCCTCAGCTTCTGAGGATCAAAGTTCACTCTCCTAGTTTCGGCTGTGTCCCGCGTTGTTGCTTGCCCCCGAACCACAGCTGCCCCACCTGAGAGTCTTGGGAGTTATAGATGAACACATCTGGGAAACGCAACAGCTTAAGGAAGGCCGAGGAACTTCATGGGAGACGGTTGCGTTGGGCGGCCATCTTCCTCTCCCTGCTCAAAGAAACGTGGGCAATCAGGGGAAAAGAATGGCTCAGCTTCAGTTGACTGAAAGGCTTGAGAACCCCAACGTGGCCATCAGCGCCGTCACCCCAGCTTTTCCCAAGAGTACTGCTCCAAATTCTGAGCCTGGGCCCTAGAATCCAAGTCTGAGCTGCAGCCACCCGGTGAAATAATTCTACTCCTAATCTTTCCGTTCTTGGCTTCTTTGCAATAGACTGGGCCATGCCAGACTCCGCCTCCTTACCTGTTAGTGCATTAAAAGTGACGTGTCCTAGCCCAGGTGAGCAGTTTGCAGCAGATTGGGATGGGCAGTCGGCCTGCTTCCTGGGTGATGGTCACCTTCTTCGTCTGAGGCCGGGTCTACGTCTTTAGGATCCGTGCCAGGTGGGAACGGTTAAGGATGCTGTTGGCATCTGCTTCAGGTAGGAATCTAATCCTTTCTGGGCAAGGATTTGGGAATGAAAGAAGGGGTTATCGAATCGATAGCTCTTGCAGAGTGGCCTACAAAAAGTCTATCCTACAGCGCACAACTAATCTCTCTTGAAATGCCTGCCTTTAAAAATCCTCTTTCCCTAAATGGCGGGCTTAGGAACCTTGGAGGTCCTCTAGTCCAACCCCCTGCTCAGGCAGGAAAACCCCGTACCATTTCAGGCAGGTCGTTTTCCAATCTCTTGTTAAAAACCTTCGGTGTTGGAGCACCCGCAACTTCCAGAAGCAAGTTGTTCCACTGGTTAATTGTTCTGACTGTCAGGAAATTCCTCCTTAGTTCCAGGTTGCTTCTCTCCTGGATTAGTTTCCATCCCTTGCTTCTTGTCTTGCCTTCAGGTACTTTGGAGAACAGGTTGACCCCCCCTCTTCTTTGGGGCAGCCCCTTGAGATATTGGAACGCTGCTATCGTGTCAGCCCTGCCTGGTCTTTCTTTTCATTAAACGTTTTCTGAGTTTCAAATGAACCTCTCTCTCAGAAAAAGGAGGAATATTGAGACTTTTAGTCATCAATGACAAAGTCACCCCCCCCCCTGAATGAACAGAAGAGTTACTCAAACACCAATTGCCTACTTGGGCACAGACCTAGGTTGGCAACCCCATGGATGTGCAAGCTAAGAATTGTGGCTTCTTGCAATGGCTGGTCCCGTGTATCAGACCCTTAAGAACCTGTTTCGCTGAACGGAATACATTTTGCCCTGACAGTGAGCTGAAAATGGAAAAAAAAAACAAGGCTGGCTTAATTTGATGCCTCTCCCTCTGAATTCCCTTCCCTTCTTCTCCCTCCCTCCCTCCCCCCTCCCCCTTTCTTTTTTGGATGTGAACACTTGATTAACCTTTGTTGCAAGGACAAGCGATTAGATTGTTCTGTATTGTACATTGTACATTGCTTTGCCTTATAACAACTCTCGGCTGGTGTGCGTGTGTGTGTGGGGGGGGGTGTTGTGTGTTACTCCGTGTGAGCACCAGTGGGCTGTGGGTTTACTCAACATGTTTCATTCAGCTTCTTTCATCCTCAATTTAATTCTGGGTGTTTGTTACCTGGGACGTTTTCTCAGCTCTGCCAGACCCTTTGCATTCGTCTTTGAATCCTGTCCAATTATTTGCAAGTTTAGCTGCCTTAGCAAATACCCAGATAAGGTTATGTATCTAGCTATTTTACCCTTTGAAAGCAGGGGGGTAGGAGCGACAAAAGTTTTTAAAGGTATGTCCAGCCTCGAAATGTGTGTGTGTGTGTGTGTGTGTGTGTGTGTGTATTAAAAGTTTGCAAGAAAGTACGTTGGGCTTTGGTAGATGACATGCTACCACAAATAGAATAGGAATAGAATAGAATAGAATAGAATAGAATAGAATAGAATAGAATAGAATAGAATAGAATAGAATAGAATAGAATAGAATAGAAATATGGAGTAGAGTAGAATAGAAATATAGAATAGAATAGAATTACAGAATAGAACAACAACAGAACAGAATAGAATAGAATAGAAATATAGAATAGAATAGAATCAGAATCAGAAACCTTGGAGGTCTTCTAGTCCAGTTCCCTGCTCAAGCAGGATTACGGTCCTACACTGTCTCAGATAGGTGAATGTCCAGTCTCCTCTTAAAAATCTCCAGTGATGGAAGCGCCCACGATTTCTGGGGGAGACTGGATGGAGCTGAGCATTTGCTGGCTGGATGCCCTTCCTCATGCCTACGTGGAGTTCGCAGCAGATAATTATTATTACTAGGGACTAACAGTCGTAAAAAAAGGGAGTACACAGACTTTTTTTGTCCTGGAAATGCTTCTTTCTCCCCTATGCTGTGTTGTGTGAATGTCCATTTAGAAATAACATTGAAATGTTGGGTGCAAAAGATAAAACATTGAATCAAGAGGGCTGGAATGCACTTTTGAGATCTTTTAGTCCAACCCACTGCTCAAGGCAGGAGACCTTACACCATCCCAATCAAATGATTGTCCAGCTTATTTTTGAAAGCCGCCGTGATGGAGTATCCAAAACTCTGGGAGGGTATAAATAAATAAATAAAAAGCCACCCCTTTTTTTGTAAACATTATATTTTCATTCTTATTTGAATGCCAAGAAGCTTTGGATAGAATTACTGTAAATCAGTCTTTCTCAATGTTGGCAACTTGCTGGCTGTGGAATTCTGGGAGTTGAAGTCCAGACACCTTAAAGTCTCCAAGGTTGGGAAATACTGTGGTAGATCTTCTGTAGAACGTCTGTCGCAGTTCAACATATCTCAAAAGCTGATCCTTCTGTGTGATTTTAATATGCGGGTTTGATATAGAGGTTTTCACAAGTCTCTATAAGGGCCCCCTAAAAATAAATGGAAATATGTAGATAAACAAGATGGTTGGGTGAATGCCTGCCTTTAAACCCAAGAAGATAAGATGCTATCGTAAAACTCTCCCATGCAAGAAATTCCTTGAAAAATCAAAATAATAGCTTAAGAACGGGAAATGTTCTAGGTAGGTATCATTTCTTTCACCTCTAGAGAATTTTCATCAAATAAATCTCTCAAAAGTAATCTAGTCTTTTTTTAAAAAAATGTTGTTGTTGTTGTTATTATACACAGGATTCCCTGACTTCCATGGGTTCTGGCATGTCTACAACAAGATCCAGTGAAGTGGACAGCTGATGAAGATGTAACTAGATAAACCCTCAAGTTGATGTCTTTTGGATCAGTGTTGGGCATTTCTTCTGCTAGGACATGAAAGTCTAGTTCCTAGATCTTTGGTTGCAACGCACCATGAAGGTCAAGAGCAAAGGAACCAAGCGTCGGAACACCGTCAGTGAAGATGCTTTAGGCCAAGAATCTACCCAGAGCAGAGAGGATCTTCTGAGATGTTCACGGCGCAAGGAAAAGAGGAACAAAGAAAGCCCAAAGGTGACCGCCAAGCTCCCTTGGAGTAGCAAAGATCGGCGCTTGCGGAGGCTGGAGAGCAACGAACGCGAGCGCCAACGCATGCACAAACTCAACAATGCCTTCCAAGCGTTGAGAGAGGTCATCCCCCACGTCAGAGCTGAGAACAAGCTCTCTAAAATTGAGACCCTCACCTTGGCCAAGAACTACATTAGGTCCCTCACCTCCACCATTCTCAGGATGTCCAATGGACACCACCCGGTGGTTGAAGGCACGGGCTCCGAAGGCAAGTCCAAACTCTACGAACACTATCAACAGCAGTGTGAAGAAGGAGATGAACCCAAGGAGCAGCTTCAGAAGTACTCCACCCAGATTCATAGCTTCAGACAAGGCAGCTAAAGCTGGCTGGACCTCTGTGGTTGTCTTCCAGGGCTTAACCGTCCAGTGAATGTGTGGGACTTTTCTCCATAGTTTTGCAAAACGGAAGCCCAGTTTTGAACCTCTGATTTATGAGAGGACCTGGGCACGAACCCATCTTACATTCCTAAGTAGAGGGTTGCAGGATCCAATCTGGATCGATCACCGGGACCAAAGGTTTTATCTGCCGAGCTTTCGGATTCCAACTTTAGGGAACTTCTCTCTAGCAATGTGTGTGCCTTGGGCTGTTCTCTGAGTGGTACTACACACAAATCGCACACACTGCTAGAGGGAAGTTCTCCACCATAAGTCCAAAAGCTTGGAAGACTAAGCCTCTTGTCCTGGTGACCAACCCAGATTGGATCCTGCAACATTATCCTGAGACATGTCTGTTCATCTTCATTCATAAGTATAGGGTCTTATAGGCCGGATAGGGTCTCCTACTTGTGCAGGAGGTTGGTCTAGAAGACCTCCAAGGTCCCTTCCAACTCTGATAGTCTGTTATAATCCATCTGGAATGAAACTTTTTTTTTATAGTTTAGTTTATTAAAAAGTTAAGAACATTTTAATTTCTTAAAAAAGAAAAAAACAAACAAAACGAGATTCCTAGAATGAATGTAAATACTGCAAGCTGTTAGTTCTCCAGACCGTTGTTCAAGTTCAATTCCTATTAGTTGTAGCCCTTACAGTATGTCCCATGGAGAGGGATGTTAGTGTTAGCTCCTCAACATCTGGAGAAGAATAGATCCCACATTTCTGACTTTAAGGTCAAACTAGATGAATTCAATGTTAGTGGTTAGAATTTGTATGAACGTTGGATGCGTGTTTTTAATTGATAAATCAGCATGATAAATCATCTAACCAGGGGGGGAGCAGGACTTGTACATAAAAGGGGCTTTAACACCATAGTCTCCTTTGGGATCAGGAGAAAATATTTTTTTCCCCAGGAATTGTTTTTAGAGTTTTGATCTACATAGCCTATGTTTCGTGTTTCGATATTTTAAAATGCACAGATAGCCTTTTCTTTAGCTGTAATTTGTCTGTATTGTGCATGCTGAACACAGATTTAGATTTTCAATCAATGAATTCAGTAGTCAAGAGTGTTTCTGTGTTCTGGGACTGATGTTCCGCTGTTGGAAAGGAACATGGACAGATGTTTTCTCCAAGCTGCTCATGAAGACTGGACGACTGCAGAATCCTTGATCCCTTTCTGGAAGTCCTCTGGAGCTCTCTCACTTCCATGGACAGAGTTAGCAATGTTTTTTTTTTGTTTTGTTTTGTTTGTTTTTTTGTAGAGGTGTAAACTCTGAAGACTGAAACCAGGTCTAGATCTACCCTTACTTTAACCATCTAAAGGAAAATGCAAATCTCTTCTTCTAGAATAGCAAGATGACAACAGAAAGGCCATCTCTGGCCATGTTTCAAAGGCAGCCTCACTTATTTATGTAATATCTCTTATCCACTAGAGCACGTGATGTGTCACGACGTATCGCGACTTTTTTTTTTTTTTGCATTGCCGGCACTGGGGTGCATGCGGCCTCTGCATGATGCAAACCGGTCCGCAGGCTGGCAGTTTGACACTCATGCACTAGAGCAATGTTTCTCAACTTTGGCCACTTTAAGATGGCCGGACACCAACTCAAACATTATCCTTCCGCATAAGCCGTGGGATTCAGCCGGTTCGCACCACTTCGGCAGAACCGGTAGCTAATTTTTTGTTGCCCAGGCCCAGAATGGACTTCTGGAAGCGGCGTCCACACAGAGAACTGGCTGTTCACATATTTGAATCCCACCACTCCCTTCCTTCCTTCCTTCCTTCCTTCCTTCCTTCCTTCCTTCCTTCCTTCCTTCCTTCCTTCCTTCCTTCCTTCGGTGGGATTCAGCCAGTTTCCACCACTTTGGCAGAACCGGTAGCTAATTTTTTCTTGCCCAGGCCCAGAATGGACTTCCGGAAGCGGCATCCACACAGAGAACCGGTTCTTCATCTATTTGAATACCACCACTGAGCTGGACTATAACTCCCAGCTTCTCTTGTCAGCATTGCCCCACAGCCAAACTATGTAAGATTATCAGCCCCTGTAAAAGGGGGGAAATTTGGCTTGTGCGTTTCATTAAGCCACCTTCTAAACCATTGTTTTGCAACCTTGGCAAATTGAGGATGTGGACTTCAATTCCCAGAATTCCCCAGCCAGCCATGCGCTATATTCTTCCCTCCCCCAAATATTAGGTTTGGTTTTGACCATCCAAAGCTTTGTTGATCCTTGAGCCAACATGCTGGAGATCTGAAATGTTGGTGTCCTGTCTTAGTATCAATTGACAGTGTAAATAATCTTTAATAGCAACCACCGGCAATGTATTTTTCACAGGCTTTTGGACTAGAAGACAAATGGTAATTGATTGGGTGAACAGAAAGGTGTTTTTTGATTGAAAGAAGGAATGACCGAGAAGTTTATTTTGAATCGATGGGAAATTCTGTCCGGAAGAAACAGCAAACACTGAGGAATACAATAAAAGAATGAACGCCGTTATTAATAAAACAGGCTGGGTGTTTTTCTTTCTTTCTATTCTTCCTTTTCTCTAATGGACAGGAACATTTCTGGGTGAGCTTCCGATTCAAATTCCCGTTGGCGTTGGTTTCGTTTTTCTCTACCATAAAACGTGTATTTCTAACAAATTTACAGTCATTATGAACCGGGGAATAAAACTCAGCGCGTATATGTAGGGTTAAAAAGGGAGACGAGAAAAATTCATTCTGAAAACTAGTTATCAATTCCTTAATATTGCTTCCATTTAAAATTTTCATCCGGCATAAAACAATTACGATTTCCCACCCCGATTAGCATATATAAAATAAGATATAAAATAAGAATGGCTGGCCCAAAGTCTGGCTTCATACCTAAGGGAGGACTAGAACTCACCATCTCCTGGTTTCAACGCAGGGGCTTTAATCACTACACCAATTGACTTTCAGAGTAGATACTAGTTTAGTGTAAAAATGGGAACCCCCCCCCCCAGTTTGCCTCTTTTCCTGGAAGAACATCAAGTGACAACCCTCAAACCTGGATAGGTCTTGCAAGAATTCACACTTGCAAGAATTCACACATTCTTCTCCGCTTGAAGATCTCTACCTGTAAGGAAGTAATGAAATCTTCCCAGCCTCGCTGGAGATAGATAGGTTTTTGCTTACTATTCCATTATTTCATAGTAGAAGTGGCAGGCTGGACAACAGTGTCCTCTTTCACCAGTTCCTGTGGGGTCATCTGCTCCCTGAAGGTTCTTCAGCCGTGGTCAACTGTCAATCTATTTACAGCAACCAGTGCTTCTCAACCCTGGCAACTTTGAGATGCATGGACCTCAACTCCCAGAATTTTCCAAGCAGTGATGGCTCGCTGGGGAATTCTGGGAGCTGAAGTCCACACATTTTAAAGTTGCGATGGTTGATGAACACCCAGTTCTGAAAGACAACAAAAGCATCTCCGTGTTAGCTGAAGTGGTGATTCCTTTGTGGGAGACAAAGAGAAGACTTCTACAATGGCTGTGGATGGATGGGTGTCTTCTAACACTCAACGTTATGTAACCAATTCTTTAATCCCATTCAATAGTTGGGGGGGTAGGGCACCCAGGGACATATATTTAAACATATATTTAATTGGTGCCCAATTAATCAGAAATCATTCTGGGACAAACAAAAGAGAGAGGTAGCATTTTAAGAACAAAGATGACTCTGTTTTGTGCCAGTCGCTGATCCAATGAATTCGGAGCAATTTGTAAAAACGAAAAAACTGGGCATTCCGTCTTGGCAACGTACAAAGTGAAAAGTGACTGCTGTGATAACACCACCAAGATAACAAACTCTGTTCATGCCAAACACTAGAAAGGAGAAGACGCCGTACTATTATTTAAAAGAACATTTCTTTAGAGTGTGGTGTCTTTTCTTCCCGTAATCCAGCCGCTAGCTGTTTAGGAGCCAGCTATGTGTGTTTTCTGGAGAATAAAGTACATTTTATTTAAAGTCAGGTTTTTTTCTGTTTCCTTCTGGGGGGGAAGGAGCATCAGAACAATAGCTGCCTTAATCAGATGTCCTGAACTGGCCACCTTTTAACCCCGTTCACATTTCTTACCTTAAATAATAATAATAATAATAATAATAATAATAATAATAATAATAATAATAATAATAAATAATAATAATAAAGTTGGAAGGGACCTTGGAAGTCTTCTAGTCCAACCCCCCACTCAGGCAGGAAACCCTATACCATTTCAGGCAAATGGCTGTCCAGTCTCTTCTTAAAAACCTCCAGTGTTGGAGCATTCACCATTTCTGGAGGCAGGTTGTTCCACTGGTTAATTGTTCTCCCTGTCAGGAAGTTTCTCCTTAGTTCTAGGTTGCTTCTCTCCTTGGTTAGTTTCCATCTGTTGCTTCTTGTCCTGCCTTCAGGCGCTTTGGAGAACAATTTATCCAGGCATGACAGTCACACAGCAAGTCAGGCAATCTTTTCAACAGCCGAATGGCTGTGCACCTTCCCTTGTTTCCCTTTGGTGACATTCAAAATGTCCCCGTTGCAGGAGAACAAAGCCCTGGAAAAGGTGCACAAAGAATTGTTGGAAAAGGTCACCGTTGTTTACTGCTTTGGCAAAAGTGCCCTTGATCAAAGTCGAATCTTCTGCATCACTTAGGAAGAACAGGATAAGACTTATTAAACACAAACAATGCCGTCTTCATTGAGAACAAGATGATTTCAAGGCAGCTGCGGAGAACTTGATTTGTTCCCCAGAGTTTGATCACCCTTCCTAAGGGCATTGTTTTAAGTTCACACACCTACAGAAACAGGGATTGTTCTCGGCTGGCACTTTGAGTGCAAATGTCACACTGGGTAGGTCCACGACATCCTGCTGGATGGGGTTCAAGACAGAGTTGAATTCTGTGCTGTTTGGAGCCATGAGAGGTGGAATCAAGTTGATCTCTAGAACAGAGGTCCCCAACCTTTTGGGCACCAGGGACCGGTTCCGTGGAAAAAGTTTTTTTCATGGACAAGAGAGTGCGTGGTTTTGTGTGCTGCCTGCATCCCACGGATGGGGCTTTGCTTTTTTGTGCGGACCGGTTGTTGGCATGCTGCGGCCCAGTACCGGTCCATGGACTGGGGGTTGGAAACCCCTGTTCTAGAAGACACCCCCCCCATTGTTTTCTGTGAGACTTGAGGAAGATGTTTCTTGGGGTAAATTCTCAGATAAGTTCACCTTCTCCAGTCCAAAGTTGGAAGCTGGACACAGAATTTAACATGGAGATTCTGATCCCAGTTCCTCTACTGCTTCCAACACTGGTTGGAAAACATCCAGTTTTGGTCACCACTATGTAAAAAAGATGTTGAGACTCTAGAAAGAGGGCAGAGAAGAGCAACAAAGATGACTAGGGGATTGGTGGCTAAAACATATAAGAATGGTTGCTGGAATTGGGTAGGTCTAGTAGTCTAATGAAGAGAAGGATGAGGGGTGACATGATAGCAGTGTTCCAATATCTCAGGGGTTGCCCCAAAGAAGAGGGAGTTAAGCTATTCTCTACAGCACCTGAAGGCAGGACAACCAACGAAGGAGAAATTTCCTGACAGTGAGAACAATTAATCCGCGGAAGAGTTTGCCTCCAGAAATTGTGGGTGCTCTAACACTGGAGGCCTTTAAGAAGCTACTGGACAGTCAGTTGTCTAAACTGGTATAGGGTCTCCTGCTCAAACGGGATTGGACTAGATGATCTCTCGGGTCCCTTCCGACTCTGTTATTCTTTTTTTCATTCCTCAGCTCTCCCCTAAATGAGCAAGCTTGAAACTTTTGACCTTTAAGCAGTTAAAGAGTCTTGCTGTACCAGCCCAGGAACAATCGAAAATCACTTTGCACAAATTAAGCAGGTAAAGATATTACAGTATCCACTTTCCACCTTGGTGCCAAGCCAAACACAGCTCCTCTTAATCTCTTGAGGAAGACACTTATAGGCAGAGCAGAAAAGCCAGTTTGGGACTGGGGGGGGGGGGAAACCTACCCTCTTCTCCCCAGATTCTTCAGCACATCTGCTCCTCTCTCTTCCAGCTTAGAACTGAAGCAGCCAGGGAAGATTTGGCAGAGAGGAAATGCATGTGAACACACAAAAACTCTACTTGAAAATCAGGTCCATGGTTTTGGGCCTCTGCCCTGCCTGGATTGCTCATTTGCAAAACTAGGAACAATGGAGGGAGTTGGGGGAGGGGGGGGCACTAAGCCTGGCTGACAGCTTCTCATAGAGAAGAATTTAGCTCAGAGAGAAATACCCTGTATAGAAAACATGACTGATTTATAGTCATGTCCTTCTGGCTTCTGGGGGTGGCCCACGTTTATTACAGGTTAAGTTCGACCACGATGTAAAAAAGATGTTGAGACTCTAGAAACAGTGCAGAGAAGAGCAAGAAAGAGGATCAGGGGACTGGAGGCTAAAACATATAAGGAACGGTTGCTGGAATTGGGTATGTCTAGTTTAATTAGAAGGACGAGGGGGGACATGATAGCAGTGTTCGAGTATCTCAGGGGCTGCCCCAAAGAAGAGGGAGTCAAGCTATTCTCCAAAGTGCCTGAAGGGAGGACAAGAAGCAACAGATGGAAACTAACCAAGGAGAGAAGCAACCTAGAGCTATGGAGGAATTTTCTGACAGTTAGAACAGTTGACCGGTGGAACAATCTGCCTCCAGAAGCGGTGAATGTTCCATCACTGGAAGTTTTTAAGAAGAGACTGGACAGCCATTTGTTCTAAATGGTATAGGGTTTCCTGCCTGAGCAGGGGATTGGACTAGATGACCTCCAAGGTCCCTTCCAACTTTATTATTATTACTTACGACCACGACTGAGCCTAAGATGTCTGTTGCTAAATGAAACAGCGAGTTTGGCCCCATTTTACTGTCATAAGCACGAGTCAGTGGCCAAGCGTCTGAATTTTGATCATGGGACCATGGGGGGACACTGCATGAAAAATGGCGATCAGTCACATTTTTCAGTGCCCTTGTAGCTTTAAATGATCATAAAATGTACACGGTTTACATCTGGTTTTATTGTCCCATCTGGGCCATTTCTACATCTTATTGTGTTTCGATTCTTGGCGTGGGTGAATTTTTATTTAAGCATACCCGTACATTCTTCACTTCTTGTTCCTCAGCAGAGGGGGGAAAAAAACATCTGTGACAAAATGTGTTCCACTTTTGCTTGACTATTGAATAAAATGTGAATATTTCATAATCAGGTGTCCACGTGTCAAGATCCACTCATGCACCCGTGCCACAATTTTTTTCTTCCCCCCCCAGCAGCAATAAATACAAAAATATCCCTCTGAAAAAACCAGCCACCGATGCAAAACTGCTTTTAAAACAGAACAACCATTCCCCCCCTCTTAACGTGCTCAACTCTTCTGTATTTTTCCTTCTGTTTACTTGATGTCAGAGCTACACACACACTAGCTCTAAAGGGGAAAAAATATGTAAAGATTTTGATTTCAAATGCAAAATGTCTCTTCAACTATGCTCTGATATTACTCTCTCTCTCTCTCTCTCTCTCTCTCTCTCTCTCTCTGAAAAGGCAGCACAAGAGAAGACACAACTCTTTGTTTTGATTAAGGTCAACAGGACTCATCAAGGAGGCAGAAACGTCCTTCACTTAGTTATTTTAGTGCAGAAAGAAAGAAAAAGAAAGAAGGGAGAGAGGAAGAAAGAAAGAAACAGAAAAAGGAAGAGAGAAAGGAAAGAAAGAAAAGAAAAAGAAAGAAAGAAAGAAAGAAAGAAAGAAAGAAAAGAGGGAGGAAGAGAAAAAGAAACAAAGAAAGAGAGAGAGGGAAAAGAGAAAGAAAAAGAAAGGAAGGAGAAAGGAAGGAAGAAAGGAGGGAGGGAGGAAGAAAGAAAAAGAAAGAAAAGGAAGAGAAAGAAAGGAAGGAAAAAAGAGAGAAGGAAGAAAAAGAAGCGAAGAGAGAGAAAAGAAAGAAAGAAAGAAAGAAAGAAAGAAAGAAAGAAAGAAAGAAAGAGAAACCATACATCTTTGAGTTGCTGAGATGGGGAAACTGCTCTAAATCAAAAGGCAAAAGGGAGCCACTGACCATTTTCACAGCTGTTTTTAACCCAGGGGTTGCCAGCTGCCAACCTCGGCTTTCAATCCCCAGCTTCTTCTCTGCCAATTCTCATTACTGGGTGATGAATGTACGACTCCTGGGGCATTTGAAGAAAAAATAAAACATAGAAGTGCTTGCTTATAGAATTCACTAACTGGCTCAGTTTAGTCCTGTCCACCCTGCCAGGGAGGCTGGCTCACCGTAGATCAGGACCTGCCTGTGCAACAACATCTAAGAAAGCCGGGATCGGGGTCAAATATACTCCAGGTGGGGGCTTATAATAGAAAGGGTTCATTGACCCTCTTCGCCTACATATTGGGTCATGTACTGGCCATCATAAACCAAGGCTTAGTTCATGGGGAATGAATCCAGGGCCTACTGGAGAACATCAGTTTGCACCAGGCCTAAGAAATACCACAATAAATTAAGGGGTTAAAACAACAACACAAGCAGAATTCATACACACACACACACACACACACAAACAAACAAACATCCAGTTCTCCCACTGAGGTGATGGGACATGCAGTCTCTCTATTCAATGGTCTCCAAATTTGATCTTCTCCATCTTGGATCTTCTCCACTGGGGGTGAATCTAGCTCCCAGAATGCTCATCGAGAACGGGGGAATTCTGGGAGATGATCACAACCAGGCACCTGGGAGACACACCCCCCCCCCAGGTTGGAGCATCATTTCGACAAGGATTGGGTTGACTTCGGCTGTTCTCGCCAAAGGGAAACAAGATGAAAAGGGTTGGTAGACCGCATGCTGGGAGTTGACTTGGTCTCTTTGCACGCTCGGAGCGAGTGTTCGAAAACCAGCCTAGTCTTCGGTGTAGTTTCCGTGATCTAGGACACGCGGAATGAGCCGGAGGTGGAAACTTTAAGAGATCGGTCAACATTGGACAGCGTTTTTGTCCAAGCCTTGGACACCATCTACAAAAACGGTGGTTTGTGACTGGTGGCTTCCATGAACCTCTAAGCTACTAAGGTCAGGAGGAGAGCTGCTTGGGTCATCCCCAGCTGCCACCTTGATGCTTTCGGTTGCATTTCCTCGTATGGTGATGTGATCCCATCCTCCCTGCAAAATCAGGAGCGAGAGGGAATAGCTTAGAAAGAGGTGTTGGAAAAAATCACTGGATCTCACTCTTTGGGGATGAAGGGGTGGGAGCGAAGCATTGTGGGTATTTAAACCAGGGCAGGAGAAGTCCTTCGTTTTAAAGATTATTCAGCCCTTGAGAACAACAGATCGATTGGGCAGAGCTGAAGAAGCTTCCTGGAGGAGAAGCGAAACGTCTTCAAAGAAAAACAAGAAAGTCCACTTGCCTCTTGAAAAAGCACCTTTGGGACAACAGATAGATTGTTTTATAAAGGCAGGCAACTAGAGTGTCCCGGGCTCTTTGGACCTGACACAAAGTGGTCCAACTACACAACAGAGCCACGCCAACTTCTGTTTCAAATGTCAGAAGAGCTCACTTCCTACAAGTTGGAGCCTGGGACAACCAGAAAGTCCAAAAGGAAATAAAAAGGCCAAAACATCCCCTCACCAACTAATCAACACTCATAGGAGCAGAGATTAAAACCAAGATGAACACTAGACCCAACAATCTATAAGTCAATAATACTTCAGTCGAGGATCCACTCGGGTTTTCTCCCGCGTCGATTGGAAGTGTCTTGGCGACGTTTCGACGAAGTCCCATTTGTCATCTTCAGGCTGGTGTTTTTGGCTTCTTGCTTCTAGAAGCACGAAGCCGAAAACACCAGCCTGAAGATGATGAATGGGACTTCGTCGAAACGTCGCCAAGACACTTCCAATTTGACGTGGGAGAAAACCCGAATAGCTGTGTCATGAAACGTCTACACGAAAACCACCAAGCTCAGAGAGAACCAAGGAGCCCACAGTGGGAACCTGACTTTTCAGGAAACTTCAACCCATGACCTGCAATCTTCTGCTTATAGACCTCTCTGGATTATGGAGAGAGCCAACAGTTGGTATTTCTGATGCTCACCCCAATGCCGTAGTCCCAAGAGACCCCCTTTGGTTCCAGAGGCTGGACTCCGGTCCGGTGGCAGACAGTTCCACAGCTCAGACTGTGACTCCCTTGGACCTTGTCAGCTATCACCCAGATCTAAAAAAAACAAAGATATAACCGGACAGACATTACAGCCCACCTTCCATTCACATATAATGCCCACGTCAAAGATTTTATGACTAGAAAAGTACTCCTCCAGGCAACTTTTGGGAGGCCAGGTGGGGAATTTTGAATCGGGAAAAGATGGCTGAGGTGCTCTCACAAAATGGCAGCCTGGAGGGGTATTTTTCTAGTCATAAAATATCTACCATGGCAGCAGATCTACTAATGACCAGGTGCCCATTTCCTAGAAGTTCCTCCAGGTTCTAGAGAACGGGAAAAACTTCTGGGATGGGAAGCGAAACGTCTTCAAGGACAAAAAAAACAAGAAAGTCCAGTTGCCTTTTGAAAAAGCACCTTTGGGCTAATTTCCCTTCGGTTGTGAAGAAAATATTTTCTCTGGGATTATTAGGCCCAATTCTGTTGAAGCCCACTCATCTTAAAATGGCCGAGGTGGAGAAACACTTGGTTTTTAAGGGCTTCAAAGAGATCCTTTTCTGTTAGGGCCCCACCTGATCCAAGGGTCCAACGGAAACTTTGCGGACGTTGTTCGAAATGTGTTCCCAACTAGATCCTTGAGGGTAACTCGGTGTGATCCCAGCACGAAACCACAAATTACCTATAAAAGACAAAAAGGAGTTGACAATATAATGTGTGTGTGTGTGTGTGTGTGTGTGTGTGTGTGTATAGTATGTGTGTGTGTATATATTGTTAACAATTGTGAATTAATGGTTCACAATTAAATTGCTAAACACAAGCAATTATGGATTGCTCAGTGATATTCTGAGGTAATTTACACTTCCTTTCCAATGGAGCAATTACACAACTGGCCAGCAACTCCAAGAAACCAGGTTTTTTTTTTCAAAACCACCATTAAAAAAAACAACAAAATCCACCCAGGAACACCGGATTCTCTCCTCACCGTTTTTATCCACGGCCAGCACAGCCGTTCGTCCCACGGAGACTTGCTTTAACTTCTGCTTCAGAGGAGAAGGGACGTGGTACCAGCATTCGCCTGGATATTCCCAGAAAACCAGCAAGGGGTGAAAGAAACAAGAATAATCTCCTGACTTGTTTTGGATTTGAATTTATCCAATTAAGGCAGGCCCTGAAACACAAACTTGACTTTTGTTTAGATGTGGCCGATTTTAGCCTGTTGCAGGATTCTTGGATTACATTCAACCATCACCACGTTGTGTGTGAGGCCAACGTTTTCAATTTTGTTGGCTGGGCTTAATGGGCAAAGGCTGAAAAATCCTCATTTTGGCTTTTAACCCTTTGTGCAGGGAGAAAAAAAAAACCTTGAAAGGTTTCCATACTGCCGACTCACAGCAAGCTTCCGTAGAACTGGAGGCGTTTCGTTTCTCTAACTAACCCATTCGAAAGCGACCCCTGCCCCCCCCCCCCCTTACTCTAAGGGCAAGATGAAAACAGAGAGACAGGTTGCTGCCAAATTTTCGCTCTTGACACATACCTTAGGTATGAAAACTGGCTGGGTGACTTTGGGGCTGGCTGAGCATCAGAGGTGCAGGAAACCAGAGTTGGCAACTGCTCTAGCTTCACTCACCTTCTGGTTTTTTGGAAGACACTGAACCGCGACAGAACGCCGATCCATCTTGGGCAACAGCCCAGACTTGGTGGAACATTCCTATGGAGACGGATACAAAGGCTTGGTCTGTTCCCACGTGCAGCCAGGAAGTGCCCTAATGGGGGAGAAAGTGCGGGTGAAAAAACCTTGCTGAGTCTTGGATCACCTTCAAAAGATGAACGTCCATCTCCATCACTTCCCGGTCCTTCTTTGGGTCATGCAACCTGTGGCCAGGTAGATCTCCGAAAAATTAAGCAGGAGGCAGCCTTCCAGCCCAACGTACCAATAATCCTTGTTTAGTGGCCCTTTGAAGTTATAATGGCATTGAAAACAGCGACTCATGACTGCTTTTCATACTTACGACTATTGCAGCATCGCATGATCAAAATTCAGATGCTTAGCAACTGGCATGTACTTATGACGGTTTCCAGTGTCCCGGGGCGTCACGTGATCCCCTTTTGCGACCTTCTGACAAGCAAAGTCAATGGGGAAGCCAGATTCACTTAACAACCAGGTGACTAATTTAACAGCTACAGCGATTAACTTAACAGCTGTGGCAAAAAGGTCGTAAAACGGGGCAAAACTCCCTTGGCAAATGTTTCACTTAGCAAGATAAATTTTGGGCTCCATTGTGGCCGTACGTTGAGGACTGCCTGTACTGCCAAGAAAACACAGACACCACCCAACGTCGTTCAGACGCAAACTGAGCTTCCTCCAATACGGTCACACAAAATAATTTCCAGGGAGTTGAGGAAGGATCCTTGGGAGGTTAAAACCACTGGCTCGTAGCAACACCTCCGTTCAACCAGGAAACAATATCAAAAGAGGGGGAAAGTTTTACCGCTGGCTTTTGGGGTGTGACCTGCAGCCGGCAGAGCACGTCTCCCTTGTCGCTGATGGCCCAGAGAGGAACAAACTCTTCCTTGGAGCCAGGAGGGTGTGACATGATAGAAACATCTCGCAAAGCGATCGGAGGCCCTTCCAGCCAGGGCCCACTTGTGACGATTTTACACTTCCTGGGAACAAAAGAGAAGAGAGGATGGGAGGCAGACTGCCAGCACTGATGATGTTGCCTAGTTGGGTCATGAAAGATCTGCAAGAAAACCACCAAGCTTAGAGAACACCAAGGACCCTACAGTCATTCTCCTCCTCCTCCTCCTCTTCCTCCTCCTCCTCCTCCTCCTCCTCCTCCTCCTCTCTCCTTCAACTCGCACTCCCTTTTGGCACTGATAATGTTACCTAGTTGGGTCATGGAACGTCTGCAAGAAAGCCACCAAGCTCAGAGAGCACCAAGGACCCTACAGTCCGCCTCCTCCTCCTCCTCCTCCTCTCTCCTTCAACCCCCATTCCCTTCTTGCACTGATGCTGTTACCTAGTTGGGTCATGAAATGTCTGCAAGGAAACCACCAAGCCCAGAGAGCCCCAAGGACCCCCACAGGTCAATCCTGAGCCACAAATATTCTCTTCTATCGAAACGTAAGGAATGGCCTTAAGCCAATCACACGCCAGCTGAGCCATTAATTGGCTTCTTTGAGAAAAACATTCCACGCGGACTTTCATAAATAGCCCTTGGTGAATGAAAGAACAAACGGATCATGAGGTAGGGCTTACTGTCCCTTGCCATTTATTCCGCCAGCCCTGATCCAAACAAAACACAACTCTGTGCAAAGTGTAAACCAGTTCAACCAATGCTTTAATCGCTTTAGTTTTAGGTCCTTCTCTCCTGACGTGGTGCTTGACGAGCTGAAAATATTGGGAATTTCTGTCCAACTGGACGGCTAAAAGTGCCCAGCTAGGAAAAGCTGGTCTGGAGGTCTATCTATTTATCTTTTATCAGATGCCAAACCTACATCCTTTACCGGCCAAAGCAAATGTTGTGTTTGGAATGGCATCGCATGTTTTAAAGAAACAATCAAGAGTAGAAACAAGGAATTTACTGCAAACAAAAAGGGGGGGAAGGGGGTAACCTGCTTTAAACAGACTTTAGGGCTTTGCAAAAGGTGATATGGGTTACCTGGCCCAGCGTCTCCGGCGCACGAAGTCCTTCATTGTTTTGTAGCCGTGATAAGACCTGTTGGGAACAGAGAATAACAGAATAACAAGAGTTGGAAGGGACCTTGGAGGTCTTCTAGTCCAACCCCCTGCTCAGGCAGGAGACCATATACTATTTCAAACAAGTGGCTGTCCAATCTCTTCTTAAGAGCCTCCAGTGATGGAGCGCCCACAATTTCTGGAGGCAAGTAGTTCCACTGGTTAATTGTTCTAACTGTCAGGAAGTTTCTCCTTAGTTGCTTCTCTCCTTGATTAGTTTCCACCCGTTGCTTCTTGTCCTGCCTTCAGGGGCTTTGGAGAATAGCTTGACTCCCTCTTCTTTGGGGCAGCCCCTCAAATATTGGAGCACTGCTATCATGTCTCTGCTAGTCTTTTTTTTTCCCCACCAGATTAGAAAACCCAGTTCCTACAACCGTTCTTCATATGTTTTAGCCTCCAGCCCCCTAATCATCATTGTTGCTCTTCTCTGCACTCTTTCTAGAGTCTGTATTGACGATGCAGCTTTTTAAACAGCTTTTTTTTTTGGGAGGGGGAGAAACAGAAAAAAAAACCCTAATTTTTTGTTTTTTTCCCCAAGCCTTCCCATCTCCAGTTGCTTCCAAATGTTTCTTTTCAAAACTGCCACGCTTTCCTCCCCCAAATTGTTATTCCACGTGTTTCCTCATCAGCTAAGGCCTTCTATCCAAAGTGGGGTCAACCACTTCCATGATCTAACCCAGCGGTAGGCAACCTGGGCTCTTTTATGACTGGTGGACTTCAACTCCCAGAATTCCTGAGCCAGCCACGCTGAGGGGAAAGGGAGAGGTTTCCAAGCTGAGCCAGGCTGGCTCAGGAATTCTGGGAGTTGAAGTCCACCAGTCATGAAAGAGCCGAGGTTGCCTACCCCTGATTCTAACCCAATGATATGTGGGGAATGATGGGAGAGAAGACAAGAGATCCTTACGCGGGAAAATCGGCTGCGTATTGCCAACCTTCTCGGTCAGTCCCGCCCGAAACGCTGAAATCGATTGCCCAGTCAGACACCTGCGTTGCGGAGAGAAAAGCAAAATAATAACACTTGATTCTCTTGCCTCCTGTACGGAAGTTGCCTGAACTGGGGAAAAAAAAAATCTCTCTTTAATCATTTTCCACTGGTGATATGGAGATGCTCCATCATCCAGGTTGTAACTGTCCCAAAGGTGCTTTTCTAAAAAGACAACTGGAGTTTCTTGGGTTTTTTTGTTTTCCCTTGAAAATGCTTCGCTTCCCATCCAAGAAACTTGGATGAACTTGGAGAAGCTTGTTGGATGACAAGCGAAACGTTTTCAAGGAAAAACATCAAGTTGCCTTTTGGAAAAAACATCTTTGGGACTTTCAGCTGTTACTTGGTGTTCTGTCCTCAGGTGCTCTAGGGAATAAGTTGACCCCCTTCAAGTACTGGAAGACTGCTATCATGTCGCCCCTAGGCCTTCTCTTGGTTAGACTAGACCAGGGGTCTGCAATCTTGAAGACTGGTGGACTTCAGAACCCAGAAGTATAGAGAGAACAGAGTGAGTTTAAAGCAAGAAAGGGGTCCCCTTAGAATATGGGTTCTGACATTCTCCACACACCCCACTCCCTTCTAGCACTGATGGTGTTACCTTGTTGGGCCATGAAACATGTCCAAGGAAACCACTAAGCTCAGAGAGCACCAAGGACCCCACAGTTATTGTTGTCATCATCGTTCTCCTCCTCCTCCTCCTTCTCTCCACACACCCCACTCCCTTCTAGCACTGATGACGTTAGCTAGTTAGGTCATGAAGCATCTGCAAGGAAGCCACCAAGCTCAGAGAACACCAAGGACCCCACAGTTATTGTTGTCATCATCGTCGTCCTCCTCCTCCTCTACCTCCTCTTCCTTCTCTCCACACACCCCACTCCCTTCTAGCACTGATGGTGTTACCTAGTTGGGCCATGAAACATGTCCAAGGAAACCACTAAGCTCAGAGAGCACCAAGGACCCCACAGTTATTGTCCTCCTCCTCCTTCTCTTCCTCCTCCTCCTCCTCCTCTCCACACACCCCATTCCCTTCTAGCACTGATGATGTTAGCTAGTTGGGTCATGAAGCATCTGCAAGGAAGCCACCAAGCTCAGAGAGCACCAAGGACCCCCACAGGTCAACCCTGAGCCACAAATATTCTCCTTTATTGGTACCAAGAGCCAGAGAGCAACTCCACTTACCCAAGTCCACTGGGGCGATGGAGGCTTGGTGTTCGCTTTGGTACACTCGCGTAAGCCAGACACATCGCTCCACATATACCGGTCGGTGGGCAGGCCTCTGTGAAGGCAAACAGGCACAAGACTCAGCACATCTGCCTTGTGGGTCAAGCACGTTTGCAAGAAAAAAAATGCAAATTGAGAGATGTTCATTTGTTTTTTTGGAGGGGGGGGGAGAGACATGAAAATGACCCGGTAGCATAATTCCTGCTGCAACAGACTGGCAAAAACAGTAATTTTTAACCTGTCTATTTTTCCTACCTATTAGTGTAGCCTGTGACAGGATTCCACCGCTGGTTTTCATAAATATGGACGCTCTTCACGTCGGTCTGTGTGTGAATGTTCTCATTGCTGCCTGCCAGCCCTGTATAAGCCAAGGCACGAACATTATTCCCTTGTTTCGTTTTCCTTTCTTGTTTGTTTGTTTTTTTAAATTAGGATTTAATGATCTTCTTCCCTCTAAAAACTCAAGCTATAACGCCGTGAATTACAGCAGATGTGTGGGATGGTTGAAATACAGCATTATTTAATTAACCCAGGATATTAGTCAACCACATACAGGTAGCCCTCAACTTACAGACACAATCGAGGTGAAAATTTACATTGCTAAGTGAGAAATTTGTTAAGTGGTTTTTGCCCCATTTTATGACTTTCCTCACTGCATTTGTTAAGTGAATCACAACTAGTGAGAATAGAATAGAATAGAATAGAATACGGAATGGAATGGAATAGAATAGAATAGAATACGGAATGGAATAGAATAGAATGGAATAGAATAGAATAGAATAGAATAGAATAGAATAGAATAGAATAGTTGGAAGAGACCTTGTAGGTCATCTAGTCCAGCCCCCTGTTCAAGCAGGAGAATCTATACCCTCTCAGACAAATGGTTGTCCAATCTCTTCTTAAAAACCTCCTGTGATGGACCACCCACAACTTCTGGAGGCAAGCTGTTCCACTGGTTAATTGTTCTAACTGTCAGGAAATTTCTCCTTAATTCTAGGTTGCTTCTCTCCTTGATTAGTTTCCATCTGCTGTTTCTCCCTCCTCATGTTCAGCTGAAGAAAGATTGCCTGGAAGAGGCATTTCTTACCCGTCAAAAAACTTCCTCCGTATCCACCAGTGTAAATCCAAGCGGTATGGTCATAACCTACTCCCCACACGATGCCATCACTGTTGCATTCAATCAGGCGCAGATGTCCTCCGACTTGGCGCCAAAACCTACAAGAAGACACTCTGCTCAGATTGCCTCAGCATCCGTCAGCAATAAAACAAAGGATTTAATGCACTCTAGGTTTATGAGAGAACCCAAAGTGAAGCTAGACAGAACAGTAGCGTTGGAAGAGACCTTGGAGGTCTTCTAGTCCAACCCCCTGCTCAGGCAGGAAACCCTATTCCATTTCAGACAAATGGTTGTCCAGTCTCTTCTTAAAAACCTCCAGTGATGGAGCATTCACAACTTCTGGAGGCAGGTTGTTCCACTGGATTAATTGTTCTCCCTGTCAAGAAATTTCTCCTTAATTCTAGGTTGCTTCTCTCCTGGATTAGATTCCATCCGTTAATTCTTGTCCTGCCTTCAAGCGCTTTGGAGAATGGGTTGACCTCCTCCTCTCTGTGACAGTCCCTCAAATATTGGAACAACGGTATCTCTTCTCTTTGTTAAACTAGACATACCCAATTCCTGCAATCTCTCCTGTTTTCTGGGGTGAAAAAGCTTTTAGGAAAAGCCCCCCTTTAATGGTTCACTCATTTCAATCCCTTTCTCTTGGTTGATCTCCATCCCTTCAAACTGTGCTAGAGTTCTCCAAAAGAGAGAGATTATTCTTGGTTCCAAAGACATTTAGCAAAGGAGGTTGAGGTCAGATTGCTCACATTTGATCACAAGGCATCGGGTGTGCTAAAGCCTCCAAGTCAGGGCTGGGCTCACTCACAAAGATGTCGCCTTTGCAGGTCAGCGACCAGATGGCTTCATGAGAAGGGGGGCCCTGGAGCTGTCGGCCCTCACAACAAGACATGTTCAGCAGTGCCAGCTGGCAGACACAAAGGAATTGGGAAAGAGATAGACATGATTCAAACACTTCCTATCTTTAGAAGAGACTATTTGAAGCTCAGGACTGAATTGTGGGGTCCTTGGTGCTCTCTGAGCTCGGTGGCTTTTTTGCAGACATTTCATGACCCAACTAGGGAACATCATCAGTGCTAGAAGGGGTTTGCTCAGTGCTACAAGTGTCTATGTTGGTGGGAATGTTCTTGGTGATTCCTTGATTAGGCTGTTGTTTACTATAAGCTTGTTTGTGGGAATTGTTGATTCCTTGATTGGGGTATTGTTTACTTCTCGATTGCTGATCTAGTGTTAATCTTGGTGTTAATTCGGCTCCTCTGGATGTTGATTACTGGACAGGAGGTGTTTTAGTCTTTCTGTTTCTTTTTTGGCTTTGTGATTGTCTCTTTTGAATGGTATGTCGATATTGTTTATCTCTGTGTGCCTGTTGATGGCTAATCTGCCTGAGTATCAAGAGCAAATCCACTCCCTTTTTGCACTGATGATGTTCCTTAGTTTGGTAATGAAATGTCTGCAAGAAATCAACCAAGCTCAGAGAGCACCAAGGACGCCATACTTCCTACCCTTTCTGGAAGAGCAAGCCAGTCCCATCAACTTTCCATCCTTCTACTGGATGGCTGTGGGTCCAGGGCCCACCCATGCTTCGCTCACCACCTTGAGAACAGTATTCCCAAAATGGCTGGAGGAAGGTCCCATTTCAAGCAAGATTTTAGCTTTTTCTAAAGCATAGTCTGATATAAATAACCCATCACTAGGTGACTCTACACCTTGAGCTAAGCCACGAACTATGGTTTACCAAGACCAGGGCTGGGCTCAGCCAACAAATTAAGTCCAAAAAACCAACAAATTGCATCATATTTCAGAGCAGTATGTCAACCCTACTACAATTAAGTTCTTGACCAGCCTGGAAGTCATCTATAAACATACCCAATGACGCATCTCTTGTTCGGTGCTTGCCGCTAGGCGGATGGGCCACCGTTGTTTAGTCTTCTCCGGTGTGTAGAGAGCAAAAGAATGTTTGGCCTCATTCAGAATCTCAACTAGGATAGTCACTTCGTTGAGAAACATGTGGATGTACTGGGGAACACAGAGGAAATGTCAAATCAGATCTTCAGCTTAAAGAGTGCAGTTAAAAAAAAAAATTTGGGAGCCACCAGGCAACACTTTAACTAGGGGAATTCTGGGAGTTAAAACCCAGACACCTTAAAACTGCAAAGGCTGAGAAATACTTCACTATATTCTTTCCTCCCCCAAATATTACATCTGGTTTTGACTATCCAAAGCTTTGGTGATTCTTGACCCAACATGCTGGAGATCCGAAATGTTGGTATCTTGTCTTAGCATCAGTTGACAATGCAAATAATCTTTAACACTAGCCATCTATTTTTCACAGGCTTTTGGACTAGAAAACCAATGGCAATTGATTGGGTGAAGAGAGAGATGTTTTGATTGAAATAAGGAGTGATGGAGAAACTTAATTTAAAAGGAAAACATTTCACGGCTTATTGGGATTGTCTTCCGCTAGCAGCTACAGTAAGTAGAATTTGGCTTGATTAAAACTTGGATGGAGGATTATCCAAGCTGTAGGCTAGAGTGAGAAATTAAGAAAGATACCCCAGAAAATGTGGGGAGAAAGCACTTTCCTACTGTTGCCATAGGAACCACGTGGATGTGTTCCTGAGTTCAGTTTGGTACCCAATAATGTCGAGGAATAACGCAGAGAGGCTAATATATGTTACATTTTGCACACTGCAAGGTTTTTTCTGCTTGGTACTATTGCTCTCCAGTGGACACCTTTTGAATTCCCATTTCAGAAGTTTTGGTCAAGGGCACTGACTATTTCTTCGTCATTCAATCCCTACTTCATTTTTCAGGACAGAAATTGGAGACTTTACAGCAGGGGAAAGCTACGACGATAAAAATGTTCTGCTCCTACGGCAGATCCCATATGACAACTTTGCAGATCCCGGGATCACGTGATCACCCTCTGCAACCTTCCCAGCCAGATTCCAACAAGCAAAGTCAAGGGAAGAAGCTTAAGGGCGGCGCGACCCCCTTAACAAAGACAGCGATTCGCTTAAGAACAATGGCAAAACAGCCTGCAAAATAGGCAAGGTTCATGGGTTGACTCCCTTAATGGCTGCATTGCTTAGAAGTTCTGCTTGCTCCCAGATGGGGTCATAAGGCAGGGACCCCCTTTATTTTTGTGTCAAATCGGGGTCAAGAATTGGGTGCGAATTGAACCTGGCTGTTCAGAGGCGCCTACCTTCTTTTCCTCGTTGTGTGTGTAGTAGACAAAGAGAATGCTGTCCCGGGTCCCGTCGTTGGCAGTGAACTGTTCCAGAGCCACCTGCACGTCAACCCAACGATAGGGCTTCCAGCTTCTCCACCATTGTAAAGTTCCAGTTTTGACCCAGACGGACTGCAAGAGACAAAATCCAAAAGCAACATAGCCCTCTCCTTTACATTTATTGATATTTATTTCTACCCTACCTTTATTATCTTTACAAATAACTTAAGAGGAGGAACATATCCTACACACCTTCCTCCTATTTTCTCTACCACAACACCTCTGTGAAGAAGATCGGGCTGAAAGAGAGAGGTGATTGACTTAGAATCACCCAGCTGGCTTTCATGACTAAGGCAGAACTAGAATTCACAGTCTCCTGGTGATTGGCTCAAAGTAACTCAGCCAGTTTTCATGCCTAAGGTGGAACTAGAACTCACAATCTCCTGATGATGGGCCTGAAGTCACCCAGCTGGCTTTCATGCCTAAGGTGGAACTAGAACTCACAGTCTCCTGGTGATTGGTTCAAAGAAACCCAGCCAGTTTTCATACCTAAGGTGAGACTAGAATTCACTGTATCCTGGTGATGGGCCCAAAATCACCCAGCTGGCTTTCATGCCTAAAGTGGGACTAGAATTCACGGTCTCCCGCTTTCCAGCTTGGTGCTTCAACCACTAGGCCAAACCGTCTCTCTCTTATAAAGCTCCCCTTTGAAGACTTTTTTGGATTCCAAAGTTTGGACAGCAAATCCCAATAAAACCCCTGCTTCGCCCTCTCTCCCCCTTTCTCCACTTTACTTGTTCCACCGCCTGTTCGTAATGTCTGAAGTTGTCCAACTCTCGGTGGGTCCTTTCCGACAGCTGCCGGAAGATCTGCTTCCTCCACTGGGCTGCATGACTGGGGCTGATGGAGAGGGTCAACGACTGAGCGCAGGAGTTCAACGCTACAACGGGGTTAAAAAAAAGGAGAGAATTCCCAAATCAAGCATTTCCTTTGACCCTTTCCTTAAAAACAGTTTTTTAAAGAGCTGTTGGCGTTTCTAGACCTGCTCCAAACCAAACAACTCTTGAGTGGCAGGTGGCAATAAGGATCAAAAAACAACAGCACAAGAAAAAAAAGTTCTCAACTTGCAGGCATCTGTTTAGTGACCGTCTGAATTTATGATGGTCCTAAAAAAAATGTGATTTACGACTAGTCCTCACACTTAACGTTCAAATTACACTAAGATTCAAAGACTGGGCAATAAGGATTAAAGACTCAGACCAAGCCCCCAAAAACATAGTTCCTGTCTTAAAACCATTTGTTTAGTGACCGTTTGAATTTACAATGGTCCTGAAAAAAAAAATCCATTTACGACTGGTCCTCGCACATAAGTTCAAATTACACTATGATTAAAAGACTGGGCAATAAGGATTAAAAAAACAAGCCAAAAAAAACCATAGCCCTTGACTTACAATCATTTGTTTAGTGACTGTTTGACTTTACGACTGGTCCTGAACGTGATTTATGAGTGGTTCTCGCACTTATATTAAAATTACACTAAGATTCAAAGGCTGGGCAATAAGGATTAAAAAGCAACACACCAAGCCAAAAAAAACCCATAGTCCTTGACTTACATTCATTTGTTTAGTGACCGTTCAAAGCTACGACAGTCCTGAAGAAAAAGTGATTTACGAATGGTCCTCGTACTTACGTTAAAATTACATCAAGAGAAAAGACTGGGTTCTTTTTTAAAATAAATAAATAAATAAATAAAATCAAAAGCTATGGAGCTGCCCCCCACCTGACTGCAGAGTGAACCATTTGAGGGCGCTTTGTGCATCCACAAGGCAGCCTCTGCTGGAGACCCAGGTCCAGAGGGGAAGGTCATCGGTCACAAAGTGGCTCTCGATCCCAACCGGTGAGAAGGAAGACAAGCTGGAGGTCTCGGCCAACAGGCCGGCTGCTGCTTTGGATGGCCTGCTGGCTTCTTTTAAGTCGATGTTGGTCCACTGAGGCTTGGGCGGAGGCGAGTCCAGATTGGAGAGAGGCTTATTTGGAGCACCTTGGTGGTCTCCATCAGACCCAGCTGTAGCTTCCTCCAGAGCACTGGCTAGCGGGTCCATATCCAGCTCCGGGACCGGATGGGGACTGTTAGTGGCATCAGGACCAGGCCCAGGTCGACCAGCATCATCAGGAAGGGATTCATGACTCGGCTGACTCGGCCTGGGAGTCTCCATCGCTTTGAAAGATGGAGGGGCTTTGCTCTTTGATGTCCTCCGTAAAGAAGCAGCCGGCGCTGGAGAGGCAGAAGGGAAAAGCAGATCTTACTCTGAATTATCTGCGTTTATGATGCGTTGAAGATTAGATTAGATCACCTTTATTGTCATTTTTTTCCCCCTGTGGGCACAACGGCACACCTTAAAAATGAAATTTAGTTGCTTGCTCTCAAGTGTACACATACATAACACACATTTAAAACATACTATGTACGACATATGTATAGACCTACACCCTTCCATAGAAGTAACATATAAATATTAATCACTGTCCATCTTGAATACGTAACGGAAGGATAACTATTACCTCAGGAGGCTGGTGGAGCTGCCGGTTTGAGATCGGTCGCTCTCTCGGTTGCAGGCAATTGCTTTCCACATCTTCCCACTCAGCTCACTTGGGGTGACGCCTTGGCGGAAGTAAATTGCTCGGTCCTCGCAGCTGATCCCCCAAACCTACGTGGGAAGATGGGAAGGGGAGGGAATGAGAAAAGAGAAGGGGAGGGAAGGGAAAGGAAGACAGGAAGGGAAGAAGGGAGGGGGCAGGAGGGAAGGGAAGACGGGAAGAGGAGAGGAGGGAAGGGAAAAGAAAATGGGAAGGGGAGGAAGAGAAGAACGGGTAAAATCACAACTGTCCACTCGAAGGACCTGGGATGTCCCAACCATGACATCCTTTGGCCTCATCCTGGAGGATGCTGGTGGTTAGAATGCAGTCTTAGACGTAAGTCACTGTTTTCAGCACTCTTGTAACTTCAGCTGGTTTTAAATGAATGTTCATAAGTTGGGGATTTACCTGTCATCTCTCCTGTTCCTAAGAGACTCACCTGGTCGTTTAAGCCCACGTCCACCATCTGCATTTCACCAATCATCTCAATCCAGCTGGTGCCACAAGGATTGTAGGAGTTCACCCCTCGCCGGAACCACACCTAGATGAGAAAAATCCTCACGTCAGGGGTGGAGGTGTGGGGGGGGGGTTTCTCTTCCCCTCCCCCCTCCAAAATGAGCACCTTAAAATCCCGACATTGGATAATGGGATGAGGAGCAGCAACAGTCTCCTCCCCGACGGCTTGGGATGAGACAGAAGGGATCCCTTTTATTCAGGTAAAAACTTCTTGCTGAATATCCTTGGATCAGTCTTTTAAAATTCCCCCTACAATCAACAGGACTAGCAACTTAGTCAGCCTTTGCAGCTCCAAAGCCACTTACTTTTCTGTCTTTCGTGACAGCCCAGACCACGTTCACCCCCACAGACACGTGCAAAATCCCATTGTCGGCAACCGGTGGGTCCACAAGGGTCCAAGAGGTTCCTGGCCAAACAAGAAAAGAGGCAGAAAATCGGCAGAAGGACGACACAACTCCCCAGCAGAGAAGCAACTTCCTTAGGACGCAAAGGGTCCTACCCTGGAGGTTGTTTCGGTCGATCCCTTCTCTCACGATCGCCTGTCCTTCCCAACAGGTGGCCCAGAGGAGATCGTAGGGTCCACAGCTGATCTGTATGGCTTCGCCCGGAGCGGGTATTAAGGTCCAGGAAGATCCTTCAGGATTGTGATGTGTGACATCGTTCCGGTACCAGATCTACGAAGACAAGGCCATGGTTCAGGCACAATTTCTCAGAAGGAAGCAAACATTTATGCACACGGGATTTAGATGACTTCTTCTCTTCCACCAGGGATGAAAGTCTGCTGGCCTTCTGGATACCATCGCCCTAAATTTCCAGACACCGAGGGGACACTGTATCATGGAATCAGCCGGTCTTCGTTTCCTCTGAAAACAAACTCAGGAAGTGAAGTGAAGCCAAGAGGGACACTCAACTTGTTTAGTCACCAAGCAGCACAACAAACTGAAAATAAATCTTGGGTGGGCCCAGGGAAACACTTCCATGAAGCCAGAACATTTTCAAACACTGGGAAATGTTGGGAAAAAACTGGAATATGAAGGAAGGTAAATAGAGGGAGAAGATCAAACAGAGTGGCCTGCTCTAATCAGGAGCTCTTAAGGTAGGAGATGAACGTACAGTGGAGGGAAATGTTGAAGGAGTCAAGCTTCTGGTGATCTCATGGACACTTGGGGACAAGACAATGCTTTGCCAACGCTGTTGTCATCCTCTTCCTACTCCTCTTTTAATTTCCCAGTTTACAAGTCTATAGCTAAAGTTTCTTAGCTATATCCCCTCAAATATTAACCCGATGCAGTAGCATTGCAGGAGATTATTATATTTTGAGGAGTTACTAGTGAGTTGCCAAGGTTGACACCTCTGGTCTAAAGGTTATAAGAGCTAGCTGTGGAATTCTGGGAGTTGAAGTCCACAAGTCTTAAAGTTATCAAGGTTGGACATCCCTGATCTACAGGTAATAAGTGTTGGCTGAAGAATTCTGGGAGTTGAAGTCCACAAGTTTTAAAGTCACCAAGATTGGACACCCCTGGTCTAAACTGATCAGCTGATGGACTGTCTCTCTTTGGCTCTGCGTCGAAGGGACAAGACATAATTAAGAAGGGCTGGGGATGGGAGGACATTACTTTGCCTTGCAGAGTGACGGCCCAGACTGAAAGTCGACCCAGAGGTTCATCGGTGATCTCCCAGCCTCCCACGGAGATGTCATTAAACGGATCTGGCAACTGCTTCGGATCTTGATGGGGTGGAATCTATCTCAAAAAAAAAAAAAAAAAGGAAAGGAGAAAGGCTGGGAGTTACGGATTGCTACTTCGGAAGGCCAGGTGAGCACATTCAGATTGTCCTTGCTGAACTCCAGGTGATGGGGCATCCTCTACTTGGGCAACCCCACGGCACCTTCTAGAACGAGAAACAGCAGAGCCCTGCGAGAAAATCCATTGGAAAAAACAAAACAACAACAGAGGGTTTCTAATTCTTATTGAAAACCACAAGCTCCATTCCAGAGGTGTTGTGGAAAGATTACAAATATCCTTAAAAAAAAAAATCTAGAGAGGGGACAAGCCTCACCTTGACCTGCCCTTCATCCCCACCCAGAACCGTAGTAGAATGGAGGGGCCTTAGGAATAAAATGTCAAAGAATATAAAACCTAAAAGAAATGTCAAATAGAAAACAAAAGATCATAAAATGCAGGTAGTCCTCAACCCAGGTCTGTAATTCAGCACAAAACATGCTGAAACAGTTATTTTGCCCCATTTTACAACCTTTCTTGCCACTGTCGTTAACTGAATCACACAGTTGTTAAATGAATCTGGCTTCCTCATTGACTTTGCTTGTCAGAAGCTCGCAAAAGGGGAGTCTGCAATGGTCATAAGTGCATTCAGTTTCTGAATTTCGATCCTGTGACCCTGGGGATGCTGCAAGCGTCACCAGGGTGAAAAACGGTCCCAAGTCACCTTTTTCAATGCCACCGTAATTTTGAATGGTCACTAAATGAATGGTTGTAAGTTGAGGACTACCTCTGGAAGTCAGAAGGAAAAAGGAGAAATAAAAGTGAAATAAAATAATGCCGTTGAAAGAGACCCAAGAAACTACAGCTACCTGGAGAAAGCAGAAGTGCTTGGCTACGCTCAACCAACCCTGGACATACTAGACAATTCCAGAAAAAAAAGATGAAAGAGAAATAAAGAGAGAGAGAGAGAGAGAGAAAAGAGAGAGAGAAAGAGAGAGAGAGAGAAAGAGACAGAGAGACGAGAGGGAAAAAGATAGAAAAAGAAAGAGAAAAAAGAGAGAGAGAAAGAGAGAGAGAAAGAGACAGAAAGAGAGGAGAGAGAGAAAGATAGAAAAAGAGAAAGAGAGAGAGAAATAAAGAGAGAGAGAAAGAGAGAAAGCAGCACACACCTTTGCCCAGGTGTCCCGTGCTTTGTACCTTCTGTACCGAGTCCACCTCCTTCGTCTGACACAGGAATTCCAGCGCTGTCTTTGGTGTACGTGGCAGGGAAATCAATGGCGTAGGTCCACCCCTGCGAAGGAACAAAGTGACCGAGGTAGAACATGATGAGCCGGTGAGGATCAAAGCCGCAATGAACTCAAAGTCTCAGTAAGCCTCAAGTGTTATTCACTTTAGTAATATCATTTTAGCCTTGTGATGGAAAAAGGGAGGACCAGTTCAGAATCCCTCCGAGATCTATTCCAGAAATCTGTCAGTGGTCATATCTTGATTATCATCATCAGCGTTGTAGAGAAGGACTTCCTTTCCTTCCCCCAAGGGAACTGAAACCAGACAAGAGTTCAGTTGTGTTTCTTCTCCCAAAGCTAAGAAATCTTGGTATACAGCTGGACTTCTGAGGTGAAAAAAATGGCAACTTGAAGACAGATCCTCAAAAAAAACCCCCAGAGCTAATGGGGAAGGAAGAGCCAGTGAGTAGTCCGACTCTTTATAATTCCTCTCCGGACAAGGAGAGAACATGAGATTGCCCACAACTGTTCCGGACAGTTGCTCCTTGCCAGGAGACCACAAGATAGGAGCTTCCAGCAATTTTAGAGCTCCTTGATCAAACCATGGTCAGAAAAAAAGAAAAGAAACTGGCTGATGTCTTAAAAGGGACATACAAACAACAAATTCAGACAATAACTTGGGTCATTTTTTTTTTAATATATTGGATTCACAAAATAGGCTTGTGAAAGCTTTGCGAGAAGGGACAGGGTATTTCCCCAGAAACTTAATTTCATAATTATTTAGTACAGGGAACCGAGAAAAAGAATTGCAATTTCTCAGCAATTCACACTATCAGTAAGATGAGCACAAAAAAAAAAAAAAAATAAGAGTTTTTCCAGCTATTCTTTATTAGCACAGAGAGATCTTGACTTGCAACCACAACGGAGGCCAACATTTCTGCTACTAAGCAAGACAGTTGCTAAGTGAGTTTTGCCCCATTTTACGACCTTTCTGGACTTTGCTTATCAGAAAGTCGCAAAAGGGGAACGAGTGACCCCCCCCCGGGATGCCGCGACATCATAAATGCGAGTCCGTTGCCAAGTGTCTCAATTTTGATCACCTGACCAGGGGGACGGCGGGCAACGGTCGCAAGGGTGGAAAAAAAAACGGTCCTAAGCCTCTTTTTTTCAGTGTCGTTGTAACTTCGGCCACTAAACGAATCGTTGTAAGTGGAGGACCGAGAAACGAAAGGGAAATCGCATTTTCCCAGCCATTCACATTATCAGGGGCATTTAGACCCTGATCTAATTTTTTTCAGGCCCACAATCCCCTTTCATACAGCTTCCCCCCCCCACCTCCCCTCCCCGAGAAGGCAGATCCCACGTGGTTCACCTACCCCTTTCTCCGTGGCTTCCCCTCCAAAATTTTCATCCACGTACCAGTCAGATTCCCACTCCCAGTGAGGCGACGGCAGGGCAAAGCTATCCAGCTCCAGGTGCTTCAGCCCACTGATGTCGCTCCATTGCCAGCGGTCACTGGGCAGCAGGCTGTCACAAAAGCCGACCACCGGGTTCCAGCGCTGCCAGGAAGGGGGGAGGGGAGGCAGGCACAGGAAGAAATAGTCACACATCCCAAATGACCTCATCCTTCTCCCCCCCCACACACACACATCCCAGAGATACTTAGTCCACCGTTCCCAGGCTGGAGGTGATAGCTAGGCCATCAAAGGTTTTTAGAGGGATAAAAGGGATGTGGGAGCAAGGCAATGGGACTTACCTTCTGAGAGCTGTATGCAAGGAAATCTCATTTTAATGTAGGCTGATTAGTGTACATTTAAAGTGACAATAAAGGTATTGTTCTATTTCATATTCTATTTTATTCTGTTCTACATTCTATTCTGTTTTATAATCTATTCCATATTCTATTCTCTCTTCTCTTCTCCATTCCATTCCATATTTTCTATTTTTTATTTTCTGTTCTCTCTATTCTCTATTCTATTCTATCTATTCTACATTCTATTTTATTCTGTTCTACATTCTATTCTGTTTTATATGCTATATTCTATATTCTATTCTCTCTTCTCCATTCCATTCCATTCCATATTTTCTATTTTCTGTTATCTCTATTCTCTCTTCATTCTATTCTATTCTATTCTATTCTATTCTATTCTATTCTATTCTATTCTATTCTATTCTATTCTATTCTATTCTATTCTGTCAAGCAGTGGAACAGGCTGCCACTTGAAATGGAAATTCTCCTTGACAGAGATCCTCAGCCAGAGGCTCAAAACCCCTTTCGCAGATTCTGCACTGAGTGCAAAGGGGTTGGGCTGGATGACCCCCGAGACCCCTTCCGGGACAACTCTGCGCTCGCTGTACCTGATTCTCATAGGTTTCCTCTTTGAACCGGATGGGGACGTCACTAGCGTGTACGTAAACATAGACTTGGTGATCGCAGGCGAGTCCCCAGCAGCATTGCTTGATGGCCGAAACCCGCTTCAGTTCCAACTCTCCATCTTTGCACAGCTCCCAGTACTGGCCGGTGGTGGATAAGGTGTACACTCTCCCAAAAATATCCACAGCCCACAGGAGAGATTGGGAGCTGCTCATGGCTGGAAAACACAAGGGGCAGAGGTTGGGTAAGGGGTTTACTCTTTAACTGCACAACACACGGAAAGTCCACAAGTCATTAAAGGGCCACAGTTGAAGGTCCCTGCTCCACCCTGTTTTAAATAATGCTAATTTCTTATCTGTCAAAACATCGCTTTGGTTTCTTTATTGCCTTGGCAACCCTCTCTCTATCCGGGAGTTCCGGACAGCACGCCAGGATTAGATTTTTTTTTTTAATCGCATTTACAGGAAAGCCAGCTCCGTGCCCAGCCCCCCCCCCTTTCAATCCCACTGGATTTGCTCCAGAGTAAAGCAAAGCCAGGTATAATACTCCCAGAGGCTCAACTGGCTCCTTTCCAATGCAAACCAGTCAATTAAAGGGGTTTGGGGGTTCAGATAGTGGGATGGGGGGTGGAGGAGGGAAGTCTCCAGGAGAAGCCCCCCCCTATCATTTTAATTGATTTGATCTAACAGTTTCTGCAGCTGCCCATCTCACTACTGTGATCAGAGAAGGGGAACGAGGAAGGGGGAAAGTTAAAAGGGAAGGTGGTGGGAGGGGGGGTGCAAATCTGCGCCGGGGGGGGCTAGGGGAGGAAAATAATAAAGGCGGAATAAAAATGAAATAAACACAATCTTAAGATCATCCCCTGTCCCGAGCCTTGAACACACCTTCCGAACCCGAGGCAGCCTTGGAAAAATAAATTAAAAAGGCAACGTGCGAATTACACTTGGAATTGCAATCGGATTAGCCGTTGCAAAGACCCTGATCGTATTTTTAATGTAATTTAATTTATTTGTTCGCTTTCTGCAGCCGCCTATCTGAGACCGAGGAGCTCTGGGAGGGGGGCTTCTAAACGATCGCTCCGGAAAAAAGGACGGGCTGCACCGGCTCCCTCCTCCTCCGAGAGCCCAGCCGTCTCTTCTACCTGAGCCTCCGGCTTTGCTTTCGGCGCCGCCTCGCTGCAACGGCGGCCGGACAGAAACGCGCAGCAAAGCCAGCAGCAGCTGCAACACAAGGAAATAGAATCCTCGAGAGGGCGCCTCCTGATTGGCTGGGAGCGCGGAGGCTTCGGCTCCGATTGGCCGGCTCGAGAATCAGATGGTTACACGGCGTTCTTTTCTCCCCGCCTACCTCTTTGCAGGCGGATGGAAGCCCCTGTTGGCTTGGCCGTGACGTCACGCCTGGCGGAAGATCCGGGACAGCCCTGGCAAGACGCGTGTTGGCAGATCGTGGGGAAGGAAGTGCAAAAAAAAAAAAAAAACTTGTCTCAGTTGTTAAGTGAATCATGCAGGTGGGAAGTTAGTAACCTGGTTGATAAGTGAATCAGGCTTCCCCATTGACTTTGCTTGTCAGAAGGTGGCAAAAGGAGATCATGTGACCCCGGGACACGGCAGCCGTGGTAAATATGAACCAGTTGCCAAGTGTGCAAATTTTGATCACATGACATGGGGATATTGCAAAGGTCGGTCACTATGAAAATCGGCCCCAAGTCATTTTTTTTTCAATGCCGTTATAACTTGGAACGTCACTAAACAAACAATTGAAAGTGGAGGACTACCTCTGTGTGTGTGTTTGTATGTATGTATGTATATATATATATATATATATATATATATATATGTGTGTGTGTGTGTGTGTTGGGTGTACTAGTCTCCCATTTAACTCTGTCAGCCACAAAATTTTGAATATATATATTTAAATAAATTTTTAGTCTCAGTGATCTGTGTTTTAGTTTTTGGATATGAATATACCTGAGACTCGTATCTTCAAAACCTATATATATATATGTATGTATGTATGTATGTGTATGTGTATCTGTATCTATATAAATAAATAAAACCCCCAAGAACAGGAAACAGGAACTCATTCCCTTGTCCACTTCAACTCCCAGAATCCCCCAGCCATCCCTTCTAAAGAAACATCACGGGCCTTTCTTTCTTCACCGTCTCCTGTCATCCTCCTTTCCTAAAAGCAGGAAGGGAAAAACGTGCGAAAGAAGAAGGGAAGGCCAGGCAGCCTTCCTTTCCTCGCCCGGGCTGCAAAGCAAAAGCGGGCGAAGCTCGGGGCGGCGCGTCCCCTTTAAGAGGGGCTTTCCCCCCCCCTCCCTCCCTCCCCCCCACGTGTCTCCGGAGGAGTCATGGGGAGAGGAGGAAGAGGGGAGGAGCTTTGCAATCCGAGGAAATCACGTGACCGCCAGTCTTGTGACCGGGCTGACGCCGCCGCCGCCGCCCGCGGGCACAAAGCGCTGCTTGCTGCTCTTGCGGGCGACTCTCGCGCGGAGCTTCCTCCGGGGCGACCCCCGGGTTGCCCCTCCACCCCACCCCATGCCCCGACGGCTCTGGCTGCAATTGCTGGCTGCTCCTCGGAGCCGCGTCGGAACCGAGCAGCCCTCCCGGGTCTGAGCCTCGCTTCCACCCCTCCGTCTCTACCCCACCCGCTCCAGTTTCCTCTCCGGTCCGCCGCCGCCGCCGCTGCCGCTATGGACGGCAAGCCCTTGCTGCAGGACCGGCCGCCGCCCTATAGCCCCTACGGGCCGGCGGGCAACTATCCAGCCCATACCTACGGGGCCATCCCGCCGGCGCCGCCCTACCCGTTCCCCGCCGCGGGGACCGGACCAGGTGAGGGCAGGGAGGGGGTGGGGTGTGTGTCTCTCCTTGCAAGAGGAGAGAAGGGGAGGGAGTGCCTCTGAGCGCGGGCAGAGCGCCTGTCCGGGCGGGGGAAGGAAGAGGCGAGGGGGTGGGGTCCCCGGACACAGTTCCCCCCCGCTCTGGGGAGGGGGGTCGTCCCTCCTTGCAAGAGGAGAGATGTTGCTGCCTGGGGAGAGAGTGCCTCTGAGCGCGGGCAGAGCGCCTCTCCGGACGTGGGGAGGGAGGAGAGGCTTACCTGTGATTTTCGTTTCTCGTCTTGGGGGCGTGGCTTTCCGGGCTTGCCAGCTGGAGAAGGGGAAACCCAGCTCTTACGAAAGAGCTTGTGTGTGTGTGTGTTTGTGTGTATTACAGCTCCCATCAAGCGGAGCTGAGGTCCGGACACAGCTGGGGGGCGCCCTGTTGGCTGGTTTGCTAGAGAGGAAGGAAAGGAAAGGAAGTTAGGAAGGAAGGAAGGAGAAGGAAGGAAGGAGAAGGAAGGAAGGAAGGAAAGGAGAGGGAAGGAAGAAAGGAAGGAAGGAGAGGGAAGGGAGGAAGGAAGGAAGGAAGGAAGGAAGGAAGGAAGGAAGGAAGGAAGGGAGAGGGAAGGAAGGAAGGGAGAGGGAAGGAAGGAAGGAACCTGGGGGAAAGCAGCTAGATGGGTTGGGAGGAGGAATTTTTTTTCTCTCCCAAAAACTCCTACAAAGTTTTTTTTCCCTCCCCCACCAAGGAACCCATTGTTGTTGTTTCTTTAGCTTAAAAATTGGGGAACTTCAGTTCTGCTGACCAGGATTTAAACTTTAAAAAGAAAAAAGATCTTGAGCAACATTGTTGAATCTGTGGTGATTCATTTGAGACTTTCAAGAGTAGGGGTGTTTTTTGTTTTTGGAAGAAGGCTTTGTTTTATAGTCACTTCCTTAGATTAAAAAACCCCAGCTATGGCTTTTGAAAATGAGGAATGATCTTTGGCTCAGAGGAAGGGCTCAAACAGCCCGTAGTTTGCTCGTGGTTTACTGCAGGGTGTAAACTCGGCCAGCATAGTGTGCAAGGATTGCTGATCATCTGTATTTTCATACCACCACACTTGCAAAGATTCGCGGAGTCTTACAGAACATTCGCAGACGATATAGAACATTTAAAACTCGGACCACAACGTTTTCTGAATAGTTTTTATCCCAGAGCTATAATTGCACTTAATAGTGAACTAAAGGGCCACCATCAGTGAACTGTTGGACAGTATTACTTGGTCTGTTGGGTGGATGTTTGGGTGGTTTAAGGGGTGGGGAATTGTGGCGGGTGGGAGTGTGTTTGGGGATTATATGTGTGTGGGACCTGGTCTTTGGGTGTCAAGTAAATTTCGTTGTATGTGTATACTGTGTATACACATACAATGACAATAAAGTTTATGTATTTATTTATTTAAAAGGTAGAATCCTCGCAGAAGTCATTAATAAATCATCAGCCTTACCAAAGAACAAATATGTAACCATGGTTATGGTTTGGAAACTTGTACAAGCCAGACGACTGGGTGGTGACTTATAGAGTGTTTCTCAATCTTGGCAACTTTTAAAATGGGACGGACTTCAACTCCCAGAATTCCTCAGCCAGCCATAATAAGGCATAATAATTATTACGAAAAGGGGCTACTAAACTCCTCCCCATTTGGAGCTATTCGTTAACTAACACCAACCTTTCCTACTACTGTATCCAGCGCAGATCCACCTACCACACTGACTTTGCTTTATTATGGTTTGCTGGGTAAACCCCCAATGGGCTGGGGTTGTGCCTCCCTTTAGAGTGGATGTCATAATTGTTTGAAGTTTGAAGACCTCTGTGTTGGAGCTAATGACCTCTGCCCATTCTATGGTCAAGGCATGGCTGAGAATTCTGGGATTTGGAAGTCCACAAGTCATAAAAGGGCCAAGTTTGAAGACCCCCGCTCTAACAGGAGAATGAGCTCACTAGTTGCCTAGTACGTTGTTCTTAAGTGAAACATTTCTGTGAGCCACAGTTGTTAAATGAATCACTGCAGTTGTTAAGTGAGAGACACGGTTGTTAAGGAAATCTGGCTCCCCCCCCCCTTCACTTTGCTGGTCAGAAGGTCCAAAAGCAGGTCACATGACCACCCGGGACACTGAGACCGTCGTAAATATGATGAGTCGGTTGCCAAGTGTTCTGAATTTTGATCATGTCACCACGGGGATGCTGTAATGGTCATTACTGGGAAAAACGGTCACTAAATGAACTGGATTACCTGCAGTGCCACAGGTGTACAAGCTTACGCAATGGAGGAGGAGGCAGAGGAGGTGGAGATGGGGAGGCTCACCAAAGAGTTTGCACAATCCTGGCCCTGTTAATGAGCCATCCCACCACGTTCCTCTTCTCCATTTTGTTTCTCTGTCCAGGATATACAGCTCCAGCTGCTTCACAGCCACATAACTATCCCAATACTACGTATACCATAATCCAGCAGCCCGCTTCCACCACATCTGTTATTGTCGTTGGTGGCTGCCCAGCTTGCAGGTAAGTTTTCCTTTTTTTTTCAGGGGGACGGGGAACCTGTTATTTTATGGGTAGTCCTCCACTCATCACCCGTAGTTAGGAATCAGAATTTCCGTCGCTAAGCTTTGCTTCTGTTGTGAAGTGAATCCGATTTTATAAGCTTTTATTTGCCATAGTTAAGCTATGTATCCCACTGTGTCGCTGCAGTGGTTAAATGAATCACACTGTCATTAAACGAATCCAGCTTCCCCCATCGGCTTTGCCGCTTGGAAGTTGGCAAATGGCGATCAGGTGACACTGGAATGCTGCAACCGTCGTATGTACATGCTGGTTTCTGGGCAGCTGAATTTTTGTCACGTGACAGTGGGGATGCTGTTACGGTCATGGGTGTGTGTACACCGGTCGTAAGTTACCTTTTTCGGTGCTATTGCAAGTTTGAACGGTCGCTAAATGAATAGTTGAGGACTGCCTGTATTTACCAAATGGAGTGGCTTATCAGGATAGAGTAGAGTAGCGTAGACTAGAATAGAATAAGAAATAGAATTAGGAATAGGAGTAGAGTAGAGTAGTTGGAAGGGACCTTTGAGGTCATCTAGTCCAACCCCCTGCTCTAGTAGGAGACCCTGTATCATTTCAGACAAGTGGCTGTCCAGTCTCTTCTCAAAAATCTCGAGTGATGAAGATTAATTGTTCCAGGTTAAGATCAACATCGTAGGCCACAAAATGGCTGCATTTGGTGCACCCTCCCGAATCTCACCAATTCACCTTGTCTTTAAAGACTTAACCGAAAAGCTGGAGTTTTTTTAAATTTCTTTCTAGAATCCTAGCCAAGGTTGGGGCCATTTTTAGGTTTGGAGGAGTCCAAACGAAGCAAAATCATTGATTGTTCTACGGATAATATCCTGGAAGGGAAAAAAATGGTGGAAGACTTTAAACCAATGTTTAAAGGCCTCAACCTTGGCAATTGGAAGGTACCTTGAAGCTGCCAAATGCTGATTTAGGGTGACCAATAGGAATGTTCAGCTTTCTAGCTTTTCTAGAACGGCAACATGTCTGTGAGTTGGGCTCATGTTCGAAGATTTACATTCATGTCTCTATGTTGGTTTCCGGGACGCTTTTCACTTCCTGGTCTGGCTTGTCAGCTCTGGGAGTGTCTGGGTTTCCGCCCCTTTCCAAGGATTAACCAGGCCTGACCCTGCTTAACGTCCCAGCTGGGAGAAAACATCCTGTTTTATCATAGTGTATTTCCTTGTGTGCTGAGTTCTTTTCGTGGTGTGTCTTTTTAGCACAATTGCTGAGTCGAAACAAACTCGGTTAAGTAAACTGTCCTCCGTGCACGATGAATTAATTAAACCCCAAAGGCGGTTTTCTTGCAAATTTGAAATATCTGTAGCTGTCTAAGCAGAACGTCCCAGCTTTAAACCCGCGTGTAAACATTGTCTATTTTTAGACAGCCTTGGGAGGAGCAACTATAAAGCATGGGAAAGTCACTCGGGTTTCCTCTCTCCCCCAACTAATTCTTACTGTATAACTAAGATTAGCAAGTACAATCATTTCTCTAAATGGAAAGTTTTACGGCGCTTTGCCTTCCCCTTAGCTGACCGAAGCTGCGATCATCCTCAGGAAAATGGTCAGCCTTTCTGCAAGATTTAAAAGGCAGACAAATTACAGACGGACTTTGAGTTAACGACTGGAACGTCTGTGGCCGAGCAGTGCAGTTGTTAAGTCAGTTGCACCCAATTTTGTGACCTCTTTTGCCATGGTCACTAAGCAGATCACATGGTCTTTAAATGAATCCAACTTCACCCATTGTCGGAAGGGTGAATCACGTGATCACGGGACCCTGTCTGAATTGGGATCCCGCCACGGCAGATCTTCCCCGCTAGCTTCCAACAAGCGAAGTCAATATGGGGAAGCCAGATCCGCTGAATGACCGTGTGTTTCACTTAACAACTGCAGTGATTCACTTAAACACTGTGGCCAAAAGTTGTAAAACGGGGCAAATCTCACTTAGCCGCCTTGCTTAGCAACAGAAATTATGGGTTGTGGTCGTTCAGCGGAGGATTCCCTGAGTAAAAAGATGAAGTAGCCTTGTTCTCTCTCGCCCTGGAATTCTGGGAGTTGAAGTCCGCGCGTCTCAAAATGGCCGACGCTGAGGAAAAATCCACCCCACAGAATGAAACGCCCAGTGTTTGTGTGTATTTCAGCACTCTGGGCCGTTGTGTGTGTGCGCAACACGTTGGGTTTCATTGCTTTGGTTTTAGCACGCTGCCACTAACTTCCTCCTTCCTGTTATGTGTTCTTCCTTTTGCAGAGTCGGCGTCCTGGAAGACACCTTTACCTGCCTTGGCATCCTCTGCGCCATCTTGTTTTTCCCCATTGGGATTATCTTTTGCCTCGCCTTGAGACAACGAACGTGTCCTAACTGCGGGGCCACGTTTGGTTAAGGGATCAGCCCCCCCTCCCCAGCTCAGCCCGGAGGCTTTGAGGAGCTGTACCCCCTTTTTTTTCTAATGTAAATGTCATATACAATCAAGTCGATGCGTCGGAGCTGATTTTGTAAAAAAAAAAAAAAAAATACAATTATTACCAAGCACGGGCAGTCTTTCTCTTTTCATATGTGAAATGGATACTCAAGCACAGCTGTTAATGAAGCACCCCGTTTTTGGGTTTTTGTGCTTTAAATGCACCTTTTTTGGGGGGGGGGGAATTTCAATAAAAGTGCTTTTCCAAACTTCACAAGGAAGCCCAACCTTTCCACCCGTTCTCTTCCTATAAGAAGCATTAATCTTGTTCAGTGGGCAGAGCGTAGACTCTCGGTGTCAGCCTTGAACCCATAGAGAGTAAAATTAAAAAAAAAAAAGGCTAGTCTGAATTATATAGCAAAAGTTAATGCTGCTTTTGACAATTTATAGACTAAATATCAATAGTTCTTCTCAAACCAGGCTATAATTCAAATGCTATTTCTAGCAGCTCTGAGGAGCTCTGTAAAATATGGAGTGAATATGATAAATTTCTGCCATAAAAGAGAGCCACTTTGGTATCTGACTAAGGCACCAGGTTAGAAACTGGGAGATGGTGAGTTCTAGTTCTGCCTTAGGCTTGAAAGATAGTTGGGTGACTTTCGGCCAACCACCAGGAGGCAGCGAGCTGTAGACCAGTGGTTCTCAACATTTGTGTGACGGTGACCCCCGTCACATAAACGTGCCGTGCATGCGCGGCGCCACCCCCATGCGCGGCGGCACCCCCATGCGCGGTGTGCATGCGCGGCGCCACCCCCTGAGGGGGGAAAATGGCGGATCGCCTTGTTTGGCGACCCCTGAGAAATGGTCGATCGACCCCAAATGGGGTCGCGACCCATAGGTTGAGAACCGCTGCTCTAGACCCACCTTAAGTATGAAAGCGAGCTGGGCGATCTTGGGCCAAAGACCAGGAGATGGTGAGTTCTAGTCCCACCTTAGCCACAAAGCCAGCTGGGTGACCTTGGGCCAGTCACTTTCTCTCAGCCCTAGGATGGAAGAACAACAAACCACTTCTGAAAAATAAAGTGAAGGGACTTTTCCAGGCAGGGTCTGAAAAAGCTTAAGGCTTTTTGTCCAATGATCCACCATCAAAAAGGCTTGTTTCAGACAATTCTGTTAAACAGCATCCCATAAAGGAGATTATCCGTAGCTCAGGGTTAAAATGAGTCCCTAATGCTTTCTGAACCTGGTTGTTTTCTTGCAAATGTTTCGGTGTTGCCGCTGACGATGTTACTAGTTTGGATAATGAAACATCTGCCAGAGAACAGCCAAGCTTAGAGAATGCCAAGAACCCCTCAAATAAAACCCTATTTAAAGGAAGTAATTCAGCTTTTACATACTGCAAACCAATGAAAGAATGTTCCGTTTTCTGATTAGAGTATTTTATTTATTACTGTATCCCTAGGGCATTTTATCGTAGCTTATGTAATGAAAATATTATTTGGCATGATAATTCTCTTAGGTCATCCTTAAACGGCTTGCCTGTTTAAAAAGCAGCTACTCATATCCTTCTCTCTAAGTAAGTTGTACAAGCAAAAACTAAAATGGAACTGATCCACAGGATTAAACCACACCATTGGCACAAAACGTCTAAGCAACGATGCTGGTAATAGAAGATTAAAGGATCAGATCTGCTGGTTTCTCTATTTGTCTATTTCTGCTTTCCTAAAGTTAATTCTGTCTTCCTACAACAAGGCACGCTGTAAAATCAAAGCAAAATCTACAGCCATTCATAATTAGCAGAAACAAGAAGCAAAAAAAAAAAAGCTCATTTAAAAAAGTCAAGAAACTTTGGCAATTTGTTGCTGCTGCTGTACATATTAATTAACATTTAAATAAAGGTTAAAAACAAAAATTCAGACAGTATTTGGAAATCATATTGCTGAAGACAGTATGGCCACCATCAACCAGGGAACCCTCCAGTTGCTGAGCTGGCAGCGAAGTCGGACCCATCTCAACACAACACCTGAAGGACCGCAGGCTGGGGCAGGCTGTGCAATGTTAACAAGGTAGGATTTAAAAAAAAAATTGGGGTTTTTCAGTGCCACTCATCGAAGGATTGGCGCGGATCTGTCGTTCGTGACTGTCGGTCGGAGTTTGACGGTTGCAAATGGATTTTCGCCACTGTAAGAAAGCAGACACATGAGCGCACAAATAGAAGCGCAATGAGAAGGCTTGTGATAAAAAGCCGTCTTATTTTTACAAGGGAAAAAAGATGGTTTCAATCCATTTCCAAGAATGTGATTAGGACCACCTGAATGGTTCCAGAAGAAGACCTCATGGAAAGATAAACCAAGGCTGGTTTTTTGGGGGTTTTTGTTTTGAGTTTGTTGCATGTTTTCAACGATATTGAATGATTCCAACTTACCTTAGGAAAGGTGGCTTCACAATGCCATTCATGTTAGGTTTCTGATGAAGGAAAGAAAAGTCATAACTGCCGAGTACAGAAGAAAAGACAGTCATTCAAGTAAAAGGAATAAGCAGGAAGGGGACTTTAAATGTCTGAGTACATTGGGGAGCCTGAAAATGGATGGACTTGAACTCTCAAAATTCCCCAGCCTGCATGTTGGGGTGCCTGAAGACGTGTGAACATCAACTCCCAGAATTCCCTAGCCAGGAAGTTGGGGAGCCCGAAGACATGTGGACTCTACCAGAATTCCCCAGCCAGGAAGTTGGGGCACCGGAAGACAAGGACTTCAACTCCCAGAATTCATGGCTGGTTGGGGAATTCTGGGAGTTGGAAGCCCACACATTTTGAAGTTGCCAAGTGGGAAGTTGCAAAACTTTGACTTAAAACAGTCACACTGTCAACCATAATTTTCTAGGCCTCTCCTGATCGTAATCCCTATACTTGGTAATTTTAGGCTAATGTTTTTGTATTTTTACTTGTATTTTAGTCTCTTGATGTAATATTTTTTTATTTTGAGTTTAGACTTATTGTTACTAGTTTTAGGACCCCCCCCCCCCAAAAAAAAGCAATAAACAAACAAGCGTTTGCAGGACAATCCTTGGTAATTATTTCTGACTTTAAGAGAGGCAATTCTTTCATAAGTAATCCTTGTTTTGAATAATGAGGGTATGATTCAGGGAAGTGTCTCTTCAGAGTGGGTTAGGAATTCAAGGAGAGTCAATTTCCTCTTACTAATTTCATATATAATTTCACTTTCACTAATGCCTAAACTGCAATGGCTCCTCGAGACCAGTAGATGGCACCCTAGCTTTCCCGTTAGACCTAAGCATTATGGGTGGAGTTTTCGAACCTGATTTAACCACAGCTTCCCCTGGCCGATCAATTTCATATTAACTCTTGAACAAACAGGAATTATAATATCTGAATTTATGAGCCTTCTCTCGGTTTCTCATAGGTTAGGGTTAGGGTGAAATGTCATCTTAAAAGTTTAAAACTTCATCTCAACCAAAGGTCTCTCGTTTGCTGCATGCAACACAAAATTTGAACCCACTTTCTCCACTGGTATACTAACCCTTGGCCAGTATAAGTGATGCTATAATGCCAGCTTGTGAAATGCAACTGAAACAGGGGGATGAATATTCTCCCCCCAAAGTAACTGCTAACATTTAAAAGAATGATATAGCTGGCCAGTACAAAAAGTTAAGTCCAGCCTGGCGTTACTCAGGTCGCTGGATAAAACCCGTCGGCCAAAGTATGTTCAAAAGCGGTGTTGTTTTATAGGACAAAACTGGTAGGTTTACTTACAAGAGATGTGCTTTCTCCTTCAGCTGCCGTAGTTTTAGAAGATTCAAGTTTTGGCTCTGCAGCTGGTTTGGTTGGCCCAGGTATGACATAATCTGGTGGGGGAAGGATGGGGTTGTTTCTGTCCGTTAAGTTGACCGAGCTGACGCTTCGGACGGGCGCAGGGCTGAAAGAAAAGAGAGACACTATTAAATCCCAACAAGAAGAGACAAATTCTTCAGCTCAGTTCTGAAGAGCTTCTATATATAACAAGCCAACATTACCTTGGAACTGGAATGCGCAAGGTCTCTTCTGACGGACCTTCAAAGAGCTTGGTATAAGAGGATGGGAACCAGCCTTTCCTAGAAGGCAACAGTGTAATAAATTACTGCTTTGTAGAAACAAGATAGGCTGTATACAAGAAGAAAAGGTATTTGTGAGGTCCTTGGTGCTCTCTGAGCTTGGTTGTTTTCTTGCAGACATTTTATGACTGTGCGCTAATGTTACCTGGTTTGGTAATGAAACGTCTGCAAGAAAACAACCAAGATCAGAAAGTACCAAGGACCCCACAGTCATTCTCCTCCTCCTCCTCCTCCTCCATCATTTGGGGTAACAAATGAAGTTTGGGAAGCACTGGCGTACACTTTTGTGACATCATGTTCTCCGTACAGCCACCCGTCCCTCTCCTCCGATACGAGAAGTGTGATAATGTCGCCCTGGGCGAAGCTAAGGAGGGTCTCGTTATTTCCAGCGGTGTGGGGAAAGATGGTCTTAACTTTCTGACGCTTTATGATGTTCAGTCCGGTGGACACAGAGGTAGATCGCAATAAACTGGAATCATCTGCATGACATCACGAGAAAGGAAAGCAGACAGAAAGAGCTGGGTGAACTAACACGTCATTAATGGGATTCCACAGCAGAGAGCATCAAGCTAGCAAATTAAAGCTGAAGAAGGTCAGCCTAGCTTGTGCCTGGATTCTGGCCCTTTTACAGAGGCTTCTCACTACAATCCATGCCCTTCTGGGTGAAAGATTCTAGTTTAAATTTTTCCTAAAATCTAATCTATATCTATCTATCTATCTATCTATCTATCTATCTATCTATCTATCTATCTATCTATCTATCTATCTATCTATCTATCTATCTATCTATCTCCATCTATCTACTTACCTACCTATCCATCATTCATCTCTGTAGTATAATAAATAGGTCGTCCTTACGACTGCAATTGAGTCCATCCTTTCCATTGCTAAGCGAGTCAATTGTTAAGTGAGTTTTGCTCCATTTAACGACCTTACTTGCTACTGTTGTTAAGTGAATCACTGCAGTTATTAATTTAGTAACACGGTTATTAAGCGAATCTGGCTTTCCCCCATTGACTTT